CGTAATTTCAAGCACTTGAAAATAAAGATAGTGAAAAACCATGCATTTCCAGAGAAATAAGATATATCATTCCGAAAAAGATCATTCGTCATTTAATTATGTATTATATAAAATATAAAAATATAAAAATGAATTAATTGACTTCGAATCCAGTAATTGTGCAAAGAAGCTGTAGTAGTCATATATGTGGTCATCAATATTATTTATTGATAACCCTGCATTCCTCCATATAGTCGTTTACTAACCACATTTCTCTCCGCTTATTGAAATTCCTTCTTTTTTTCGCACGGACTATTCAGTACTAATCGAACCATCTAGAATGTTGAGGAAACCATCTATATTTTGAAAAAAAGTAGCGTTTTTTCATTCTCATTGAAAAGCGATTTCGATAGCAATCTTATAGTTTGATGTGCTAATTGCTAAGAAATTAAATTATTGATGGTGAAAAAATATTTTCCGCCACCGAATTAAATTTTACTGATATTAAAACTTTATTTTAATTTGAAATTATCATAATTTTGTTTTAAAGATAAAAATTTGGTTTTAAAAAAAAATTTGATTATTTGTGAAAGCAGTCCAAAGAGGGCACGTAAAATCGATGAGAAATATATAAAATGTTTGGTGATTAGCAACTGTATACGAATTCATTTCATTTGTGTAGCATTTTGTAGATAAATATTTGAATGGAATCGCATTGGGATTCTTTGGGATTCGATTGAAAATGCGCACAATTCGGTTTCATTTGATTTTCCCAGAAGTATTAAACATATATGTGAGGCAATAGGCGTGTGCTCACGTCCAGTCAGTCCTTCATTTTTCTCAGAAAACAATCATTTCGACAGACACGTAATTGCCTTCATCCTTTGCTCTGTTACAATTACTTTTTAAATGATGTTTATAGACATTTATTAGAATTGGGATTATATAAAAATTGCTGATTTATAAATTCATAATCCCTCCTATTTATTTATCATTGACAATTTTTTAAATAAATTACTATTTTTAATAAATTGAAAATTTAAGATAAAAATTGCGTAAAAATTTCCGACAGCCATTAAGTTGTTAGAAAGGGAATTGAATCCGCTTTTCATAAAGAACTGCAATTAATGAAATTTGCTTTTTTTATTAATATAACCATTAAGATAAATAATTTATAATCTCCGCTTTTGTGGCAAATTTTTGAATTTAAAATAAAAACAAATTTGAAAAATTTTATAAATTTAATATCACTAATAATTTCAGTTAAAAAAAGCTTTTGAAACGTTATAAAGACAATCGATTTAAATGATGTTCCACATTTGTTTAACGGAAAAAAATTTTTAATATCATTTTAGTACGAAAATCAGCTGCTAAATGAATAATTAACAATAATTATCGCTTATGCGAACTGCCTCATAATTTTTTTTTCAATGATATTTTATTGATAAATGAATTTTAAAAAATCATCTTTCGGTTTAATCCCCTAATAATTAATAATTATTTTTGAGAATTTACATAACGAATAATCGCTTCAAATCGCTTCTTAAAAATGTATTTAATTGGCATTTTTAATAAGTTTTTTCTATTTTATTATATATTTTTTCTAAAATATATTACATTAAATATATTAAATATATTTTTAAATAAATTTTTTTCACAGTTTATCGATAATCTTAAATTCCTCCAATATAAAAAAGAAAAGTTAGCACAGACTTGATGAACGAAACCAGCCTATCAATACATTAGTGAAAACTATTTGAATCATTACTTATGTTTTTTTGCAAAATATTGTAATAATATAAAAAATGAGGTATGAAAGATTAAAGCAAAATAATTTTCCTTTAGGTTTGGTTCTTTTATTTAGATTACTGAAGGGAGGATCTTCATCAATTCGAGATAGCATTACTTTTCGTAGTGCCACATAAGCTCTGCTTTAATGCCAAGTTTATTCTAATCAAATGGCTAGGATCGTACCTATGATGCTTTGGTCTAAACAGAAGCAATAGGTCTCTTTATAATTAAGGCATAATAAAGTGAAAATTAGCTCTTTTTAACGATGAATTGTGGCTAAAAGTATTTATTCTAATTACTGTTATAAGAAAAAATTAGATTAAAAAAATAAAATGCTTAGAATTTGTGTAAGTTCTAATTTATATAAATTATTTTTTACATAGTAACCATGGTTATTTAAAGTGTTCTTCTGCTAAAGTATAAAGTATTCTAATTTTCATAAAGTTTCATAATGAAAATTTAGCTACTGCAGTCATCACTATGGATTTTATTTTTTTATCTTTTAAAAGACCATTTTACCTTTAATTTTTCGCAGAAATCAAAATTAAAATAGTAAAGCGATAAATTAATTTTTATTTATTCCTTAATTTTTTTTAAAAATGTGTTTATATTTATATGCAAATTTTAAATTCTTTTTTTATCATAGTTTTCTTCATAGTTCAAATTTACAATGAAATTTTGTACTCTTCTCGAAAATCTTCATTAAATTTGTTTTTGGAAAAAATTTCTAGTAGAATTTCGATTAGATATTTTAAATAAAAATATTTTAAAAATGACAACCATAAATCTTTGATTCGTATTAAATATTAGAATAATGGATTTCTCGAGTCTGGCAAACCAAACGAATTTGCTGCTTTAGGTTTTCCTAAGTCGTGAATTGCTCAGTGATTAAGCACTTATTATTTAACTTTGAGCGTTAATTGAATTCTTTTTCGCCTGTAAATTCAGTAAGAAATTTAAACGGTAACATGTAAATCCTTTAGGTAGAAAGTTGCTTGGATTTGGAGATAAATTTTTCCCCATCATGGGAATCGAGGAAGAACTGGCCTGCAAAAATATAAAAATTAGAAATAATTCTTTTTATAATCCATCATTTATTCAAATCGATTTTAGTGGAGAGCACTAAAAATTTTAGCAAGAAATATTCGTTATTTACATGTATAAATTTAAATTTTTATGAACTTTTTGGTTAAAAGTTTTCTCTTCGATAAAGTTTTTTGGGGAGAGTTTTTAACGGAAAATATTTTGAAATTTATAAATTTAAACAAGAAATTTTTATTGGGTTTTGCTATTTATCGGTTTGCATTTGTTGTTATAGTTTCTTTTCTCGTTCATTAGAATTAGAATTAAACATTAGAAGATATAGGAGAAATAAAACTATGCAATAACTTCATTGATCAGTTGTTCCTATGGGAATCTAAATCGCTTCCTGACATGTAAAGGTCGATTCTTTTATTCGAATTCTTTTTTTGAAAACTTTCTTTTGATAAACGTTTTTCGTCGCATTTCTTGTCAACTTACTTAATTTGGTTTAATTTTGTTAAAGATGGTTCTTCGTTTTTTTCATGGTGAAATCATATTTTTCACTGTATTTACCATGATAAGAGATATATTGCTTATCAGCGTGAAAAAAGAATAGAATAGATTTTGAAAAAATAAATGCTGTCGAAATAATCACAACATTCATCGATTATTGCAAAGCGAATTGTTGATTTATTATTGCATTTTTAAGTAGGTAAGTTATTATCTTTTCTTTCTATAAATATTATGAAAATATATTTTGACATAAAACTTATTATTTTATTAATTTATTGTCAAAATAAATTCGTGGTATAAAAGTTTGGACCGATAAATACCCTCTGAAAAATAGCATAAGCTATTAATCTATTAATCACCCGCACCCAGTCAGATTTTACTTTTAATGGTTTTAGCGATCTGGAATCGAATATTCTTTCTCCGTACTGCTTATTTTCAATCAGTATTGGTTTAATGGAAACATAACTAAACCGGCTAATAAGAATATTTATACTCTAAAAGAAATTGCAGGTGTGACAACTCAACGTATCATTTAAAGTCTTTCAACAAATGGATAATAATGATTTAAGGCGTAAAAAGTAGTAATTGAATATGAATACAAGTTGACGAACTGACTTATTTCATTGTTCAACTATTATAAAAATTTATTGCCACATTTTTTTCCATTTTTATTTATATGCAAATAAGCATCGTTGTAAGCAAAGTGCAAATGCATATAAATAAACTTACAATTGCTCATTATTTCATCCTCATCGTTTTCACCAAAGGCATGTTTAATGGTTTATTATCGTTTTATTTCTTGAAAATTTCTAAGAAATGTTACGATGGTGCGAAGAGGAATTTTTCCTGTACTTCTATTATGGTGTTTTTCTTGGGTATTTGCGAATTTGTTAGCTGTGGAGTCAAAAAAATGAAAATTCGATTATAGTGGTCGTAGCTAATGAAATTAGAAAGGACATTGGAATAGTAACTATGCTGCAATTAGCTGGAAAATTACTTTTGTGAAGGCAATTAGAGCATTCAACTTCTCTAAAATATCTAATTAAAGATTCGTTAGGCAAAATTAAAGTGGAAAATCGCTTTCTGATTGAAAATTAGATCGATGCATTATTTGATTATTCCGAATGCTTTTTTTAAAGCATTAAACTTATTTCGAGCTCAGAAATAATCAATGCAATTTTATAAGCCTTTTAAAATGTTTTCATAGAAGTTATAGGCAAATAGAAAATCTACGTGCTCTCATAAATTTTTTGCAAGGAATTCATAATAATGAATCTATAAAAAAGATTCAACCCAACTTTAAATGGTTCAAATCAATAATGAATTTTTTCTGATTATAGCATTTGTGCCGAAAACACGCGTTAGACACCAAAGTTTAACGCTGAATTCGTTTCGCTCGAAGCCGGATCCGAATTTCAGCTCGCTGCAAGATAACCAACATTTTGTTCCAGAAGATCCTCATTCTCAGCTTATTGATTATATTAAAAGCAGAGTAGACTCGTCTTACCGGCCAGTTCTTCACGCAGAATCACCAGTCAATATCCACGTCAAGGCAGCGTTGTACCAAATTGTTGATTTGGTTTGTCATCCCTGTTTATTTTTGAACTAAAAGTACTCTAATATGATTTCTAAAATTTTTATGGCGATAAACTTGGGACTGAACTTAAAACTTAGTATTTGTTAGGATATCAGTCATGTGCTGTTTAAGGCAAATACCATGGATTCGATTCGAGTTTGCCAATGGAAGTAAACTACATCGTTAAAAGTAGAATTTGAGTGAGTTCCGCCCAACTATTCCCACACAACAAGTGACTCTAGCAACAAGATGATGCTGGCATCTATCGTCTGACCTCCTTGGCAAAAATTTCTATTCATATCAACAGCCAGTGGAATTATCCCGACCAGAAATAATGAGCGCTAATCAATTTTTTTTATCGTTTAGCAAAATGGTCAACTAAATACAATACAGCACTTTATACAGTGAGATCACCAGAAATGAAATGAGGAGGAATGCTATTAGACAGAAGATATGCAATATTCTAAGTTGAATGTAATATTTGCAATTCAAATTCAGCAGATAAGATCAAACAAAATGCCTTATTCCAGGATCAAAAGACAAATCTAGCAACACTATCGGGTTACTTGGATGCCTCATGGATCGATGCATTTGCGAAATGGAATCGATCAAATTTTGATGATATTGATAGGGTGTTTATTCCTGCAAGCTGGATATGGAAACCCGAATTTTACTTATATTATGGGTAGTTTAAAACATAAAACTATTTTTTGATGGCCAGGTAAATCTTATTTTAATAAGATTTCGAGAAATATCAAAAAATATTTTCAGTATAGAGGGTCGAACTCCAAATTTCGTTGGTGACATAAGTGTTGAACTGAATTATTTAGGACACGTACGTCTATTTGTACCGATTACAGCTCGAGCACTCTGTCCCGTAAACGTCAAATATTTCCCATTCGACACGCAAAATTGCACCTTTGCAGTAAGTTTTTATTTTTATTTTAAGAAAACAGTAATATAAAAAACAAATAAAGTCGTCATAAACAAATATAAATAACTAACTCGTTCAGAATTACAATTTTTTAATATTCCTTCATTTCGATAAAATTCGATAATATCATTACATATTTCTTTAGAATCGAATAAATTTGAAAAAACCCGTATTTGATATTTGTAGCAAATAATAGAATTGCATTCTGATGAATTACTTTTTTGTATGGAATCTTTCTCACAATATTTTAATGAATAATTTGACGAACAAATCACTCCTTCCAAATTCGAATTCAGTGATCTCATCGATTCTCCAATTTTCAGCCAAAATTGCGTAAAATTATTTGCATTACATGGTGGGTAATAGGTAACTCTGATTTCATAACCCTTAAAAAGATCGTCTTTTACCATCAGAGTTTGTGGTAAAGAGACGGTTTTGAGTTTACCAGTTTTATTACTAAGCACATCCAGTGGAAATCGAATATATAGCGGTTGTCGTCTAGCATGAGTGCTATTTTCTGCTGGGGACTCAACAATAAATCTTTGTTCTTGGTGGAACCAAAATGGTGAACTTTTTTTGTATTCGAAATATACGCCGTACCACTTATCTGATGACAAATTAGGAAGTAAGTAAGTATTCGACTGATTGCTGGCACTAAAACATTCATTTCTTATCATTTTAAAAATAACGCTGGCAAGTCCACAGTTGTTTAACTCATTTGAATCCTAGTGAGAGAATTTTCTACATTATTTTGTGTTTACTTTGTGTATTGTATATTGTATATATTTGAGCCACTCAATTTGGCTAATTTTGATCATAATATAATTAACAATTAGCAGATTATATTCCTTCTGAGGAAAGTGAATTGGATTCCCTCTTTATGGAAGTAAATTTTGTCACTAAAAGCCATCATCCGAGAAATCTGAGTAGTTCTGAAGACTTTTTTCCCTCGCTTATGTTGTGGTCCCCTTATTATAGTCTCTTTCCTCTTTATTTTACCAATATAATATGATAAATATATAAAAATAAATCAAACGGGAGGAAAGTTCTCGCCGCAAGCTTCAAAATCCTCCTAATGCCACAAGTAAATAAATAAACATCAATAGTTCAAATCACGCAATTCAATAAAAATGAAAAAATATAGTGATATTTTTGAAAAAATAAATATAAATATATTAAAGAATTTATTGGTCCAAATAAAAATCACCTGAAATTAGCGCTAAATTTCTGAAGTTCATTTAGCGAATTGTTTGAAGGAACCAAATCGAACGCAGTTATTTGCATAGTTGCATCTTCAGGCGTTTCATCGCCTGCATAAAATGTATGTACATACAGGTCACCATCCATTATATTATAATCATAATAATTCCTCTTAGCAGTGGTAGCATTTATCGTATCAATTGAATCACATACAGTTTCGTTTTGATAAACGAATTGATGTCCAGGTTGATTGGCATGCAATACCGTTTGCCAACAAATTCTTTAGAAGAAATTAACGAATTAAAAAGAGAAAGGTGGATAAGAAGAATTAGAAATGAAAAGTGTAGAACATTGAAATAAAAAAATCTATTTTTGGATTGGTTTAAATTCCCTTTAGATTTTTATGCATAGTTTTCAATAGCTCAATTCATCAATTTTGGAAAATCGAAAGATTTCATAGAGTTTTTTTGAAAAAAATGAGAACTAATTTATTGCAGTTAATAATTTCATTTGTGGCCATTAAATTTTTTTGAAATTTGCGATTCGACCATTTTATCGAATAAAACAACCAAAAGTATTTTAAGATTTAAAAATTTTTCTATTTTTCTCTTGGAATATCAATGGCAAGTTGAAATTTTGACTAATTATTCTTCATGAATGACATGTTCTTTTGGTTATTAAATTCATTTATATCAAATTTTAAGTTTATGAACAATAAATTTTAGGTACTAAAAATAAATGATTTTTAGCGTGAAAAATAAAACTCCTCTGAATTAAACTAAATTATTAGAATTTAAAATTCATAGAATTATAATATTCTCTGTTTAAATTGGCCAACATTTTTATATTTTTAGACTAAATTAAGATTTGAATTATTGAGATTTTAAATCAAATATCAAAATTTTAGATGCAAAGCGTTTTTATTTTTGTTTGTAGAGGACAAACTTTATAAAACTGTAAATTTTTTTAAAGTTGTAAGAAAAAATAGGTTCAACGTACTCAGTGCATCTTTTTGGCGATATTATTGCCGTTACTTCACCACTTGAGTCGCTTGTTTCGTAGGAAATGTCAGCATCTATCTAAAGGTAATAATTCGCGCAAAATTCATTTGTTTGATCATCATTCCTAGCCAATGAATTTATCGCAGCTTTTTTCGAGAATTTTGACACAAAAAGAAGTTTGGAATTATTTTCCATTAAGAATTTAGTGTTTTTAATCAAAAACCTCAAAGGCTTCAGTAGCATTTATCTGTGTTTTATTCAGAGCAAAACTTCTTATGTTCGGCGTTGTAGTGCATTTGATAAGAACTGTAATGATTGCTTCGCTCAGATTTTGTCTGCAAGCATGCATGCGCAAAAAGCGAAAAAAAGTCATTTTCTTGTAATGAGAATTTTTAAAAAAATATAGAAGCTTAATGTTGATGAATGGATGGACGAATGAATGGATTAGAAAAATGTCATCTATTAATACATTTTAGGATTAATTATTCTGATATAATGCTGACTGATGATGAATTATTATTGCTGTCGTAATGGTATTTCAAAAGTGCCCTAAGGAGCACCGTTTAAATGAGTCCACATATCTATTTTGACTGGAACTGAAAAACTAAGTGACCTGTTTTCCTTATATCGTCACAAATAACTAATAACTAATAACTGAACAACTACGTTTGACTGTTTTTTTTATTATTTTAATAAAAGGATTTTTGCCTGAATTTTTGATATTCTTTACTTCTAATATAATTTGAACCTTGTGATTTGGTCACTCCATTTTGCAGTTAACAAAACATTTTCCAAATGATAACCATTTGTTCCTTCTCGATGTCTTATTACCTAAAACTTTTCCTGAAATAATTGAATTATTTAAAAATACCAAATACCTTCTAAAACTATTCACCTGCATACCAATATTCATTGCAGAAGTAGGTTTTTCTAGTGTTCTTACTAATTTTTCCTCCACATTCATATGTGTTATTCCATCAATAATATTCTCGCTTCTGTATAAAACTCCATACCAACAATTGCTTTTTAAAAATTTTATTGTGTAACGCCCTGTAAATCACTAAGTGTCGTTAATTGCTCATTAAATGCTTTTTGTGAGTCAAATGGCAAAATATTATATTTTTTTTATTAGAAGCAAATATTAAGAAAAAGAAATGGATTGATTAGCAATATTATTTATAAGCATTAAATATTATTTCGCAGCACCTTTTGGGATTAAATCCTCAAATAAATGGAATTGAAGTTAGTCATACGAGAAAAGTTGTTTATCTAAATATACGAAAATAGCACTTATTCCAGTAATAATCGAATGTAATATTATAAATGAATAATATTATAAAAACCTCTTGAAATAAGCAGCAAAGAACCGTTCAAATCGAGCACAGAAATTTTTTTTTTATTCCACAAATCAATTAAGTCAATTTTGACTCTCAAATTATCGATAGATCCAATTTTATTCGTCGTTATTATTATTTGATCAGTTAAAGTTTCAATTAGAATTATTCGATCGGTTAGTGGTAATCGTATTGTAGTTGTATTGCATATAATTATTGTTATTATTATTAACATATATTTGAAAATTGATTGACACATCGCCTCCAGTGTATCGAGTATTGCAACTGAAATTCATCATACATTAAACATATTATTAGAATGTTAAATTAATGGATGAGAGTCGGTGATTCGAATCGACCATCCAACAAGAGCAAATTTAAAAAACTCGTATGATATTAGCGACTTTCTTGTGCTTATTTGTCGTAAAACTCTCTGATAAAAATTTCTAATTGAACTAACAGCATTCATTCAAATATTTAAAGAAAACTTAACTAAAAATGCTGAATGCTGTTCTTCTACTTATTAATAATTGTGTTAAGCCAGCAGTCATTCAGTCCTAAAGCTATGACTGCCTTTGATTCATCATTTCACAATTTATATCTCGATATATTTGAAAATGTATTGAGTATTCTATCCCATATTACTTAATAAAATATATAAAATATCGCCAAAGTACCATTTTATCATATATATATATATATATATGAAACCGTCGCGAAATCACCATAAAGACGAAAATCTGGGTCCATATAGATATATATAGCTGCAATTCGCTCGATCTTGCAAATAACTGTGAAATATGGCCAATGAGAGTGGAAGACATTAAGAAACTGTTAGCCTTCGATCACTAATGTCTTAGGTATATTTGACAGATTCGTAGGATAAAATCGCACATGATCGTATCCATCTTTGCTCAAATACCACCTCATTAATAATGTTAGCACAGAGTGTCGCCTTCACTGGTTAAGGCACATTCTCCGTCATCCACCACAAGAGTTGATATATATTTCGCTACTTGCACATTCCTGTGATGATTGGCTTGAAAAACTGAAGATAGCCAATCAAGACCCAGACTGGTACAGTCAGAAAAGATTTTGAACGTGTAGGGAGACCAGCGACAAATGGTCTTAGAGGATGGAAAAAGAAATGGCTTCTATTATTACTAGCGATGACGTCGGACCGAGTAGCTTGGAGACTTGTAGCCAGCGGAGCCAACCTAACCAGTAATGGTGAGAAATGTTAAAAGAAGAAGAAATAATAATATATATATATATATATATATATGATTTCATATATTTTTGTATAATTATGAATGTTGCAAAGCAAATAATATATGTGTTCGCAGTGATGTGGATATATTTATCATATGTAATTAAAGCTGTTTGAAATTTCACGAAAATTTCATTTTTTTTTTTGAAATTATCCAATGAATATTTTTAAAAAAATGATAAATAGCGTAGATTGGCTAAATTGCTTTACAAAATTTTTTTCAGAAGCGATTTATTAATGATATCTTCGATGAGAATTTCGAAAGGCGAACATTATTGCACTTTATTGCGCTTAAGAGAATAAGGAAAGAATATTTTGGGTATTTTAAGAGAATCTCTTGGGGATTTAATGAATTATTTTGATAAAAGAGATTTTGATGAAAAAAATTTTCTAGGAAGATCGTCGCTTTAATATTTTATTCCAATATTTAGGCAAAACGATTAAAAAAAGATAGAAAAAAAATGATAGAATAGCTTACAGTGGTTTTACACATTGGCTTGTTTTCTTGCAGATTCTAAGAAAATTTAAAGAAAAATCGAATTTCAGATTTGATTTTAGAAAAATAATAACGATAATAAAAGTGAGACAAACATAACAAACATAACACAATATATAGAATGGAATCGTTAAAGGAAGCACATAAAAAGCGAAAATCGCTTGGCAATTAGCCCTCCAGTGCAAAGGTATCCACTAAAAGCATCAGAAAGAAATTTCATGGAAGCCATTTGATGCCGATGGTTTAAGAAAGAGCTAAGGCTAAGTAACTAAGTAAGCAACCTAATTTGAGTATAAAAATACAATGCCAAAAAACTTTGAAAGATTGAATCTACTACTATCTAATTTATTTTTATTCATGCTAACCAGGAGAATTTCTGACTAACAAATCATTGTCTAATTCATTGAAATTGAAATTTAATTGAAATTTATTTTATGTGGTGATTTAAACCAAAATAAAAGTTCCATGAAATTCAGCCAACTGTTTAGTCTGATAAATGCGCTATTGATTATAGAGTCTTTCCGTATAATTTTACAACATATTATAATATAGAAACCAAAATGAGTGTTTTTACACTTTTGTTCATCTTTTTTCTTTCTGAATTTTTGGTTCATTCATCTTTATTTATCAAAATTTTTTGTGGTGTTGTTTGATGAAAGTTTTATCAGTCGCAATTTAGGTACTGAAATCTTTAGGAAATAAATTTTCGGCTATAAATTCTACTTTTTAAATTCGTAAATTAATGCTGAAATGATAATAGATTTTGTATCGGACATTTAGCTTAAATTTTTTTCAGATCGGATCATGGTCGTATCCACTCGAATTAGTAAGGCTATTTGTTGACCAGAAAGAGGTATTTTTAGGTGATTTTTACGATAATCAAGAATGGCTACTCGAGAACGCTACTCTTTATAATGGTTTTTTTCTTTCCGAATATTTTCCATATTAACAATTTTATGCTTCAAAAAAAGACTTGCTTTTTAATGAAATTTCCTCAAATTTTATTACAATATTTTAAAAAATTTACTCGAAATATTCTTTTTTAATTTTAATTCTTTTTTTAACTTTGCATATTCATATAAAATATAATTACGACTCGTTTTTTTGATAAAAATTTTAATTTTACATTTTTCTTTCTTATTTGCGTCCGCGAATGAATTTTATTGAATATTATCTACAGTATTGCAGTCTTACTAAGTAATATAAAGTTTTATGCGGTAAAATATATGAGTGAAAAGAAAATCAATGTGCTTCGATAAATGTCGTTGCTAAGTTACATAGTAAATATTTCCGGGCAACTTAAGGCGTTTGACTGAATAATTTAAACATTAAAATTTTATAAATAGAGCATTAAAATAATAAAACAAATAAGATAAAATATTAAGTTTTCATTCGTATCATGCATAGTATTAATTAAAATAATTTAAGTAAGCAACAATAATTTAAGGATAATAACAATAATAAAATAATTTAAGGAAGTTAAGCAACAAAATGATAAAATGCTGAAGAAAAAATAATTTTTGGGGAAATGCTGAATTAATAAAGAAAAATAAAAATATTTTCCGTACAAAATAAGACTTTAAAATATGAAAAAAGATTTGTGCAAATTGCCTTATAAAAAAAATTTTAAGGCACTATGGATTATTTAAACAATCAATCATTTTCAACAATATTTATGGAATTGATACTCCGAAGACAATCATTTTACTATGTTTTTAATTATGTTTTTCCGACAACCTTGGTGAGTTTCTTGATAAATTTCAGTTTTGTGATAAAAATCACATGCGTATGAATAAAAGTGATAAAAGCAGAAAGCAGAAATCAATGCAAAGCAAATACAAATACAAAATTTAGATTACAACGTATTTGATTATTTAAAACTTTTTATCATGAAAAATGACCCTGGAAAAAGACCTTCCACTGAAAAGAAATTCAGCGACAATTAAATAAATTATATCATGCTTAGTATTAATTGAAATAAAGAAGTTGAACAATAAAATCATAAAATGCTGAAGAAAAAAATAATAAATTTAAATAATAAATAAATTTTGCCTTAAAATATTTAAAGTTCCTAACGAATAGGTTTTATGAATAAAGAAATGTAAGGAGTCAGAATTGAAAGAATTGAATGTAAGGAGTCAAAATTTCATTTCAGGTGAGTTTGGTTGCAGTCGTTGGCTTTCATGCACCAATAAATGCAACTGGTCGACGTGAAAGTAAATTTCGGTTGGGAATAATGACATTATTAAGCATGTCGGTGATGCTTTTAATGTTAGTAAATGAAATGAAATTCGCACTGGCGTCAATACCTGGACAACGAGGATCATTTTCTGATGTTCCCTTATTAGGTAATTTATTTTAAAATACAAATTAAATAAAAATTTCGAGCATGTTCATATTCTAAATAAATTTATTCGTATTTAAAGAGTGGTTAAAGCGACCAACAAGATTGCAATTTTCAAAAAATTATTTAAGGAGTTTTCCATATGATACAAATGTTGATAATCAGTGTTGCAACTTGTACGAGTACTGCATTTGTTCTTCTCGAAAAGTATGCACTGCGAAATCAGTATTTCCATGTATGTTTGCATCAAATTGAATAAAATTTTTAAAAAGCTGCAGTTATTTTTTAAACGAAAAAAATCATGGATTAAAGTTGCGAAAAGGGTTTTTACATTATTTATTTGAGTGTAAACCAAACGCGGCATAAAGCCAAGCGTTGGAGCATCAATGGCAACAAATGAAATCGAAGTAAATAGAAATATGGAAATAAATAGAAATGCATGCAATGAATTGATGCAATTTTGTAAAAAGATATTGCCAGAAAAATTATTACGGTTCCTTTTTATTCAACTGATTGATGTCGACCTGATAGGAGACAAGAACAACGTCGCGTGGTACCATCCAAGCACGTTAATAACGAAAAAAATTACGGGAAAAGAGATTGCAAGCTTATAAATAAAAAAAACATTAGTTCCACAAATAAGCAAATAAGTTAATATAAATTCAACCATTACTCTGATAGTATTGAAATTTAAATTGAAATCACAATAATTACAATAGTTTAATTTGATATGGCCGGATGAAATCTTTTGTATAGAAATCATTTCGTCGTAATTCTTTTAAATTTTGATTTTTGTGAATAAAGGATTTAAGATTTAAGCAAAATTTTAACATTTCTGTAGATCTTCGATTAACTTTTTTGCTATATCTAATGAAGAGAAGTGAAGAATGTATCCATCATTTTTAAATTCTTCAGGCCATACCTTGGTGGTTGAGATTTCTCACAGGCAAAAAACTGTTTTGTTGCTATGTTCCCACCAAATTTCGATTGGCACGGAACGAAAAAATCGAACGGAACCACAACATATCAACACGTTTCATAAGCTCAACATCAGCTGATAGTGCCACTTTTGGAAATATTATTCCTGCTGAAGTAAATTGGCCTTTTCTATTCATAAAATTTGAATGTATCGAGTGCTAAATAAAAAAATAGAAGTTGGCTAGGAACGACAGAATAATTGACATTACAATCTCAAGCAATCTCTTAAAAATTAATTATAGCACAACGATTTGCACTAAATAATCGTCGTATGGACTATATCATCAAACAGAAAATTCCTTTTAACAACTATATGAGTACAAAGATTCACCAAAATGAACTAAAATTTTTTAAGGCAAATTTTATCGAATGTCACCGAGATGCGGCAGCAACTGAAGCGACAATCGATTGTCCACCACCACTAACGAATCAGAGAATCGAACTCCTCGTCAGCCTTATGCGTGAATTCATTCAAATGAAAAAAGAAATGCAGAAAAGGCATAATTATCCGAATTTCTGGGAACGTGTTTTATCTAGGCTAGAAACTATTTCTTTGATCACTTTTCTATTTTTCATATTCTTGAATGTTACGATGTTCATGTATGCAGAATTGTGGTACTAATAAAGAACCCCATGAAAGATTTTGAGAGTCGATAGCCTTTCATAAAAACCATTTTTTATCTGCAGAACCAGCTTACCATCGCAAAAGGGTGATTAATTAAATACAGTGGACGACATCACCTTATAAATCAATTCCTCCAATTCAGATACAAGCAAAGCCCTTTCAGTAAACATGATGATTTTTACTTATTCTATAAAAATATTCTTGAAAAAGAGAGCATAAATTCACTTCACTTTCTCGATTTCTTCATAAAAATTGCTGCAAATATAAAACTGATTGGATTCGATATTCTCAACACATTCAGAAAAATCTATGGGAATCAGCAGAAAATGAAGCCAGCTATGCCAGAAATAATGCGTAATATTTGAAAAAATACACCTCCACAAAAACAAAATATTTTATCCAGCACTTTAGTTTTTAAAAAAAATAAACATTTTAAATTTCTCGGAATCAGTTTAGAACGAAAATAACGATTAACCAGTAACGATTCCACATCTTTCTATAAAATCTATACAAATTTTGCATAAATGCATACCCTAAAAAATGGAAGAAGTCAAAGATAATGGAACATCTTCAGAATATCGAAGAAAAATTCATAGTTCTTATGTGGTTTCAAAATATTTTATCATAAAATAAAATATATCAAAACAAATTTAATTTAATCTAAATGGTGAATTGATGGAAAATATTTAGCAAAACTAGTAACCCTGAAATCTGCAAAAATGATATTGCCATTTTAGCAAAGAATTAATATCAATTCAAAAGCATTTCTGTCGCTTTTGAATAAATTCTGGCTATTTTAAACAAAATTTTTAATCGAAAAATGAGTTAATGAATCAGTAAACTGCTAAAGTAGTTATATGATTTATAAATTAAGTAATTAAATGATGAAATGATGGCAAAAGTTTTCGCAAATATTCCAGTTGACTTGTTTGCACCTGAAACTTACAATGATTAATGAAAAAAAAGAGAGGAAATAACATTACAAAATATTAAAAATAAAAAAATTTCATTGCTTATTGATTACTTATATTATCGTTTTATTTTGTCTTTTTTAGTTTTCATAAATTTTGTTATTCCGTTAGTTTTTTTATCTTTTATTTTACTATTTGTTTAATTATTAATTTAATCACTTCTCTTATTTCATTTTATTATTTACTGTATTTTGTTTTAATTTTATTAATTTTAATTTTATTATTTTCAGTTTTCATTTTAATTTTTTTTTAAATTTTAATAACTTTTTGAAATTTATTTTGAAATTTTATCAGTTCTTTAATTTATTTTGATTTCAGTTTTATTTATTTCAATTTTTATTTTAATTTTAGACATTATTTTTAAACATTTGTTTTGAATTTTTTAATTTTTGTTAATTTCAAATTTATTAAATTTTCATTTTTAAATAAATAGCAAGTTTTTGAAATTTATATAATAATCACTTGACGTATTTGACATTCTACACAAAATATTTTGATATGATCAAATAACTGAGAAATCTTTTAAATGCGCAAATATGAAAAGAGGACTTGAGGTGGATCAGATGCAATTCTACGAATATTTGTTTCTCCATATATGACCATATTTTCAGGCAGGGTTTCAGTCATTACTGCACTACATTTTGTTCCAATGAAACAACCATTTGTCACTATCGTATTTGGCCCTACTCGACTTCTAACACCAAAAATATTATTATCACCAACACGTGAAGCTTGCATCACTAAAATAAATTAAAATGAAGTTGAAATAAAAAAAAGTGTGAAAAAAAGATAATTAAATTATAATTACTACTAGCATGAGAAAAAAATTAAGTTCATTACCTGATTCGATTTCAAAAACGTTATCACGTCCAATATATAAAGTTTCACCATTTGCGCACCTGTAAAATTAACCACTTTTGCTTTGAAAATTTTTATTTGTCAAATAAATTCAATCAATCTGATTTAATATGTATTTTACAAGTCACAAATTTTTTAATTCTAATAATTTTAATTTTTAATAATTGCCAAATATCGCTGGAATTCTTCTGAAACCTTTCAGCTAACTAACCTAAAATGGATGGTCACATATTTATATTTTTCATGGAATATAATTCTTCCATTATCTAGATAATACATAAGTACTGAAGTTCAAAACAAAGTTGGCACCCATAATCATTAATTCATTCTTCCACAAATATAATTGCCAATTAGTCCATAAACTAGTCCATAAATATAAACTCATATTCGTTAAATTACTCATATTTCCATATTTTTTTTTTCATTAAGACCTTCAAATAGTATTCTTCATTCCATATTTGGCAATTATCAAAATGAGGTGGTTTCGCCGGTGAATAAATTGGAAATAGAAGCGCAGATGGCCCAGCACCATCGTTAGGGTTTCATTTTTAGTGACAGATTTATTCGTGTAAGGGAAGAGATATGGACTCTGTGAATCTAGCTTTGATTAAAACAATATACTTTTCGGCCATCCAGCCTATATAATTTCTATACCCTTAAAGCTTTTATTATAACCAATATCGTTTGGAGAAATTAGTGAAATATAATACGACATAGAACAGCAATAGCAATAGCACCAACAAATTTTCAATTACTGCAGTCTCTTCAACATTATTATTTTCACCAATTACAATTGGGCCATTAGTTGCTCGAATAACAGCAGTCGGATGAACAATTGTGCCTAAAAATAAATATTATCTTTATAAAAAATTAAAAAACGAACGAACTAAAGAACCTTCAAAGACAATAAGATACAAATTACAGGGGACGTTTGATCTAATTTTCATTCGAAAATTCATAGACAAATTGATGGTTGAAATGGCTTTTTCTTTAATAAAATTATGAAATAACCAAGAACTTTTTGAAAAAAGTCAAATAAAAAAAAATTAAAGTCAGTTCAAAGGAGTTCTTGTGGACAAAATAGCGGAAATAATATTAGTGAACCATACCGACTATAAAGATTGCACCTAAAAGGCGAAAAGCACTGAAATGACTGCAACGGTTTCAGCATAATGTATTAACCGAAAAAGGAGAATGAATTAAATAAAATAAAAAAACCTGATCCAATGGTAATTGTACCATGTAAAGATGCTTCTTTGCAAACAACTGCACCAGGAGCGATTGTAATTCTGCAAAAAAAGCAGAAAAAAACATTAGAAAATAGTAGTATTGAAAGTATTGAAAAATAAAATAAGAAATCCTTTTAAAGGCGAAAGGAAATACTTTTGGGAAATACTACCAGATTATTTAAAGCCAGCACTATGGCATTGTACTACCATATCTTCCTTATCTATGAACGGTTTTTCATCCAGTTCTGCACAAATTTCTCTTAATTTTGACAAAGTTCGACGTGTAGAGGAAGTGATGACAGGTCCGATCCTGGAAAAAAGAAGGAAAATGTCCGCTTCTCGAAGAATACGGAACAATATTTGCTAAGGCTGAAACGTGTTCTATATTTCCGGTGCTTTCTTTGGTATAAACCATCGATCAGCCAAATCACTGACAATCTGCCCCTATTCCCCGAACTGCATTCATCCTTGCCGAGCGCAACAGTTTGTTGTCCACGGGACGAGTTTGCCCAAATGGTTTGAAATGCAACTCGCAAGTTGTTATGTTACACTTGTCATGTTACAGTTGTTATGTTACAGTTGTTATGTTACAGTTGTTATGTTACAGTTGTTGTTGTTTTTCCTTCCAAAATATCGACGTCAACGAGACACTATTAAGAATTACTAAAATCGTTCGCTTCGTTTAATTTTTGTCAGAATTACGTAAAACGTTGCCAAACTGTGGTTAAAAGCCTCGCAAAACAATAGTGGGAAATAAAACAAAAGGAAATGGCGAAATTAACCGCCAAGCGGCGACAATTGGATTCGATTTGCAAAAAGTGCGAAACAAATTTAGAAATTACGGAAAAATAAAATAAAACGAACTTATTTTTCGAATTCATAAATTTTTATTATTCACCGAACGATTCGGTGACTTTTAATCGAAATGAATCTGAAAATTTTTTAAAATAACTTTTAAAATTGCATTGCAAAATTGTTTGAAAAGCAATAATAATTTAAAAGACCGTTCAATTCCGATAAAATCTTTTCAGACTCATTTAAGTTAGGCGAAACCCGCATAAACACTCAACTACTCAACATTTCTCCTCTTTCACTCGAATATAACAAATTTTATATATCTGAGGCTGCATTTTAGTAGTTACCGTGGCCGCATTTATTTTCGTAAAGCCAAAAATTTGAATTTATTTAAATTTTTCAAATAGAATATTTTAAAATATGAAATAATAATAATAATAAAATATTTTCGATGGGAAATTTCTCGCAATCAATGGTTTTGGCAAATTTTTGGAGATTTGAATTGAAATTTGACTTTTCAAACTCTCAAAAAAACATTAAAGCGGAAATTATTTTATGCATTTTTTAAATATTTAAATATAAATATTTGAAAAAATAATTTTAAATAAATATTTAGTTTTAGCACATTTATGGGATAAAAAAGAATATACGACAGTTTTAAGAGAGAAAAAAAGCATAGGGCAATGGAAGAAACGATTGAAGAAGGCGAGAATGGAGGAGTGCGAGGATGTGAGAGGAAGTAAGAAATATAAAAGAAATACAATGGAAAAATGAAATTATAGAGAATAGGCTGGAGGAAAAGAGGTTAAGCGAAGCGAAGAAATAGGGAACACATCGGACGTCTGCCAACGGTGGCGATGCTCACCGTCTGTCAAGCCCGGTGATTGTTGGAACGTTGTTTTGCTCGTTTGCGAGAGAGCCGCGCAGGATTTGATTTGAACGGAGATCTTTCTTGTTGGATCGTCTGCATTATACTTTTGGTGATTTATATGGATCAGAATCGGATTTGGACGGTAAGCGGTCGAAGCAATGCACCATTCTATTTTCTTTTCACTATAAAAATTTTCCTTATTTTCAGTTTTTTTTCGTTAATTTGTGTCTTCCTTTCGGTTTCCATTTTTAGCTTTTTCAGTGCAGTTCAATGAATAGAATGGAATGAAAAGGATTTCTTGCAGTAGCCAGAAATTACTCGTAAGCGACGATTAAATCTTTCCATAGCTACTTAAATGCCAATAAAAATTCTATCGTTTTAATGATCGAATCGACGAGGCTGAAATGCGTCAAACGTCAATGCGACAAATCTATTTCATCAAATAAACGGTTATTTCGCTGAAATGTGTGATTTTCGTTTTTGACCATGAAATTTCTCAATTCCACTGATCATTGATCAACGAAATGGGCGAAGTTCACGTTGCTGCTGTTATTGCTGTTTTGAGCAGATGAAGTTCAGTGGAACTGGTGAAATTTTATGAAAATGGAGTTAAGATGAAATTCTGTTTTTCTGAAATGAGAAAATGAAGAAGAAGACGAGAAATTATTTGCATTTTAATACTTCAGTTAAATCCCGAAGAGTTCTTTGACTTTTCTATTAGTCCTTTCTTGATAACAAAAGTTTAGGTAGCCAAACAATTATTACATTGTTCTCTCGGACGTCTATTAGAGTTTGGGAAGAATACAAATTATATGGGGACCATTGGAACGAGAAGTGATAAACACTCATAACCACTTATTAATTTGCTCACCTTTCGATGACTAACATTTAGCAAAAAAAAGATAAAAGATTTATTATTTAAGTGATTTAAGTGATTTAAGTGATTTTACTTATAGTGATAATCAATATTATAAAATAGAGCTTATATGTTATGTTAATTATTTATAATACTTAATAATATTTAATTAATTGCAAAAGTTTTGTATTTTAATATTTTAATATTTTGCGATTTATTGTCATTGTTTTCATTTCTATTACGTTGTATTTAATATCATTATTAATATTAAATTAATATATATATATATATTTATTAGGTTTCTATGACAACATCGGATTTCAAAAATTGAAAATCTCTCATAAAGCAAAGCTTTAAAAAATCGAAGCTATGTTAATAATTAATTTCTAACAAAGTTATAGACGAAATATAATAATTTCAAATTACTGATAAGTTAATTCATCATTCTCGACATTCCACATTGTTTCCTTGGTTACAAGGCCTCCAATACTTCTGTTTTTTTTTCTAAATTTATTTCTCCTTAAATTTCTAAACATGAAATTGAATTATTAATTAAAATTCTATAGGATAGCAATGAATATTCAGTTTGCTTAGTTTGTTTTTTTTCCAGGAACGCTGAACATTTCTGATTAAGTTTTTTCCTCTGGTTTGTTAAACGAGACAAATTTTACCAGAGGTACTGGTAAATACTGGTGAGTCGTCCGCAGCATCTTCCGGGTTTTTGAAAGATAGACTTACTTCTCCGGAATAGAACCACTGGCTTAACAACGGCATGCTCTTGAACCATTTTGCCATACCACCAGTTTTTCTTTTAAACTGCAGCTGTTAAAGCACTAAGGACTTTTAATTATTCATCGTTCCACTGGTGACGATCCTCTGTCACCATCAGATTTCGGATGGTTTACAATAAGCCTAAATGACTGTAATTCAATTATTATTAAATATTCAAATTCAATAGTAATAGTAATATAGTAAAAATCAAATGCATTTTAATCGCTGTTAAAAACTTTTTTAATGATTTCCGTTGAATTTAATGCAGATAATGGTGCAGACTTATGTCTGGAACCCTTCGCTTCAAAATGGCACTTCTGTTGCTAAGAAAAATTCAATCGGATGTAATAATTCAGCTTCAAATAGTTCAAGCATGAGCGGCGATGTCACTACCATTCGTATGGACGAAGGACTTTTGCAAAATACTACTTATAACAAGTCATTGCTAAATAATCGAGAATGTGTTGAGGTGATGCCAAGCATTTTCTCCAGCGCCACGATTTTCCCTGCAAATGATTCAAAAAATCATCAAAGCTGGCTTCATTCATCGAAGATTTCATTAAGGCAGTTCCCTATAGTTTCCAGTAATTCATTGCAGTCATGTTTTCAAGCACCATTTGTTTTGCAACCATCTTTATTTGTTCCGTCGAATAATTGGTTATTGCAACCAGTAAATATCTCTGGAAAATTATTTTTTGAACCAGTCGGAAGTTTCTCTATTGTTCAGTCTATCAATAATCCTGTTCAATTGTCGAACGCGTCTACCATACCTACAGAAGTACCAATTTTTGATGAAATCAATTATCTTTCAATTTTTACTATTTTTTACCATTATTATTATATAATTTTATATAATTTTTTTAGTACAAAAATTTCTGTAAAACTTTTTAAAAAATTTTGGGAAGTAATTTTAGGTAAAATAGCGTTTTAGGCAGAGAAACCACTCGATAATTACCAAAAGCCGTCATCGTTATCGAATGAAGAACTGTCAGCAGTAATAAAGACTCGCCAAAGTTCAGCGAATTCTACAGAATCATCGTCAGTGCGAAGAAGAAGCTGTTCAGTCTCCAAAATCGTTGTTCGTTTAAAGCTTTTGCAGTTTTTATTGGTTATTATTGGTTATTGGTTATTAGTTAGAGTTTTTATTAGAAAAACTTTCAATTTCTTAATTTATAAAAATTAGTAATTGCGAGAAATTAGGAAAATATTTTTTTTCCTTCATCTTTCTTTTTTGTTTATGTTTTTCAAAGTCATCTTTCATAGTAACCGATTTAACTGATCCTTTATTCTATTTTTCTGTCTCCAACAGCAACCACATTTAATAAAATTTGAAATTTTATAAGACGAACATGCTGGAATAAAAATAGTGGTAAGCATTTAGCACTCCTAGTTAGCTCATTCAACTGGCTGTTAGTAGGATTTCTCCGTGGAGTTGCCTGCAGGTAGAAGTATGAGCATTCGCAAATATCATCCGGACTTTTGAAAAGAAAGGGGTTTGCTATCTGTGACAGGAGTCGAACCACTAAAAATAATGTAGAAATAATACTAGAAATAGTTCGAATAATGTATTCGTGGTGCCATTTAGAGTGAAAAATTTCTAGCAGTTGCACTCTTCATTTTCGAAATCCTTAAAATTATATATTTCATAATATCCGGTAAATCTTAGTTGACCAATCTTATTTGAAACTGCGATAAGTGAATTAATTTCCTTAAATTTAATTTGGTAATAAAAGGATTCACGTATATTGTTACATTTATAGTTCATGTTATATAATGTGGAAAATGATTTATATTTTTGAATCTAAAAGTTAGTTCATTATGTTCGATGCAAATGCGCAAATTTAAGAGAAATACTCCACCAATGGATGGTGACCCACCTTGGGTTTGTGGTAATCCACAACCTCGATGCGGTATAAGAGGCACACGATCGTGGCAAATGGCTCAGTGTAACCCTGCGTTGCATCCAGACATAGCGACACAGCAAGTAATTCTTCAAATACTAACGAGTAAATAATGTTAACCATCCGAATGCGAAATCTTTTAAATGATCACAATTTCTTTAACTGAAATAACTCAATCGTTTATATCATTTTGGATAAGGATATCATAAGGAATTCATGAAAGATTGCAAAATCTGTGATCAAAATATATAATCGAACCATGCAATAGATTAACGATCTTTTTTTAGAGGAATCACGCAGCATTAAAAACAAATATGTACCAAGGTAATTTAAGTTGGTATTAAAGACATAAATTTTTATTAAATCTATGATGTTATCAGAAATTCTCTTTTACCTTTCTTCGGAATATCAAAGAATTTCGGAAGATTAAAGCAAAATTTTTAAAATTAAGCTGTAAATTCACCATGGAAATCAACAGTGAGCATGAATTACAACAATGATAATAATTTAATGGATCCTGATGAACAACATAAATATGATTTACTTAAACAAATTCAAGAAAATGAAAGAAGAAAAGAAGAGCAACGAAGAAAGGAAATAGAAGAAGATCGAAGAGAGGAAGCAAGGCAAGATTTTGCCAGATTTCTTTCAATTAACTCGAATCTCTTATAAACAGTATGCAGACCATTATCTATTTCATATATGAAAAGGTATCAATCAAGGTCTCAGCCATAACTTTTGATGCTAAAAAATAAGCAAGCAAAGTAATAATAGTCAAAAAAATAATAAGGTTATATGGGATATTTTTTAACACTGAGCATCGGTTACTATATGAATTTTAAATCTCTCATTCACGATGATTTGAAGCATCATCCACTTGTAAAAAAATTTATAGATGATGTTTAGCTAAATTTTAAATGAATTTATTATAATAATTCAATAGAAGCTATAGATTGTAAATTTATAGGTTTGAAGCATATAGAAGGAAGATTCAAGAGCAAATGGAGGAAGAAGAGAGGAAAGAAAGAAAAAAGCGCGAACGAGCCCAAGAAGCCTTGCGCAAAGCCGATCGAATTCGAGCTGCACATGAAGAATTGGCAGGGGAACGACGAGCGGCACGAATGAAAAGTTTCAAAATTTTACTTATCATTTTTAAGGGAATTTTATAGAATCTCTACAAAACTCATGCTAATTTCGCGTTTTATTTCAGCTATTTTCAGGCCATACTTCATCATCCTTTGAATCATGCGATAGATTAGAATGGTGGGAAAAAAAACAACCAAAATCCGATAACCGCTTTTCATCGCCTGTTATCCCGGCACTCAGGTTATATACTATCATATTATTTATTATTTCTCACAAATAATAGTTTATAAATTTATAATTTTTTTCAATTAATGATGGTTTTTACAGAGATCGCCGTGATTCAAATTCGTCTCAAAGAATTAATAACAATGAGCAAATTGGCTTGAATTTTGATTCAATGAATATAAATTCCCGACCATCGTCGAAGTACTTTTTTTTATTCAATTTATTTTCTTTTTTTGAATTGGTTTTTGAAACTAATTAAGTTTTCTCCTCGAAAGAGTGTCGTTTTAAATTAAAAACTATATTTTGAAAAATTTTTTTCATGTAAGTAAACAGAAATCTTTAAGGAATGAGAACATAATCCGGAGTATCTTTTTATTTGATACCAAATAAATTTAAGCATATAAATTGTAGATTAAGCGATAAAAGCTATGAAGGACCACGTAAATCAAATAGGAAGTCTAATGGTGATCTAAAAAGTCTACAGCCGATGTCATTACAAAATAAACAACGAGCGAAATCCGGAGACAACAGAAATCGTTTGACGAATAGGTATGGCTGAGATCCTTTTAATATTCCAATAACCACCGAGACAAATTTTTATAGAAGGACTTTTGAATTTGAATATCCGACAATTCTAAATAACTAAGGCCGTTTTCCGGCGAAAATCATTTAATTTATTCTTCGTCTGTCATAGTGATGCTGGAGGATATGATTCAACATTTGGTAACGAACTTGAACGAGAAGCGATTAAATCTCGAGGCTTTACTGTCCCGAAAAAACCCTAAAACACATCCATCGTTGAGCCCAAATGCTAAGAAAATATTGGTTTTTCCATTGTAAAATTGTAATTCAATTGGTTTTTATATTTATTTTATGTTTTTTGCGGCATTTTCTCGTTATTAATTATGATAATCTGTGATTCTTTATTGATTACTGCAATGTATTTTTGTTGATGAATTAGATAATGGTTTGCGAGAATCGTTAAATATTCATTGTAAGGATTTTTCCTCGTTGTCCGCTTCTATGAACTAAATGGATTTTTTTCTCGTTGTTCTCGATTATTGCAAGAATATATTTTTCAAATACTTCAGAAAAAATGGAATATTAACAAAGAAATTGCCTCGAGTTCAACGCCTTCTCGCTCTTTAAAATTTAAATAAAACTTTATAATGATTAAGCAAATAAATAAAACAAAAAAGAGGGAAAAATGAATTTCATTGGGAAATTTTAAAGATTATTCAAGTGTAAACTATAAAATTTTAAGTTAACAACAAGAAAGATTCGAAATAGAAGCACCCATGTATTTCAAGTAATAAATAAATATAGTCGCCCCGCAAATTTCGAATTTAAACTTTCGAATTCACCCGCATTAAGGAACTAAATGATTAATTGGAGCAAACAAAAATTTGCCCATTGTTTTAGTAAAAGTTCTTAAAATTGCGAAAGATGTAATTACAGTGACGAGTGGTAGCACAATGGGGATTTGTGCGTATTGACACAGAAGATTTGGCAAGAACTTCCTCGCTGGAAGGGGTCTTAAAAGAATGGAATGGATTTTGAGGAAATATCGAGAAGTATGGCAAGGTGCCGAGTGCCTCACTAGTAGTTACCTAAAACATGTGAAGTACATGATTAATTGATTTCAGCTATAGCTCCTGATGCAGAGTTACTCAGATTATCGTCCCGAGTGTCGACCAGTGACAAAAAGGTGAGAGCGCATATTCTCTATGAAATAGATTGTTCTGTGCTAGCTCCATCAGATCCCTTTGTAGTGCCTTAACCTATTGCTGAACTTATTTGTAACTCATAGTTCTTTGCACCCCATCGCATTCTCTTAATCAATGTTATTGCACGAATTTCCTAGAAGATTATCTGCTAATATTGATAAAAAAAAGATAATAAAATTAGATGAAAAGCGAATTTTCGCAATTTTTCTTCCAACTGCAGAGATACTGAAGCTTATCAATAAATGAACGATTTTTTAAAATAATGTTTAGTGGTTTATCTATTATAAAAATATGCATGGATCTACTTTGTTAAAATTTCACCATGAAAATTGGGCGTATAATTTATGGCATAGAAAGGCAGCACGGCAGTTCCATAAGATGCGAGTCATGCGATTCATTCGTCAGTTTTCATGCGATTCTCACTCGTGTTCACTCGTGTTGTTTTAATTCTGCGAATGCTTGTCGAATATAAAAAAGGTTCGCAAGAATATATTCGTCCAAAAATTATGCAAGTAGCTTTCTTTAAATGTGAATATTTCGATTCTGGAAATTTAGCGAAATTTATTCGGCGAAGATTTATAATATTAAATCTACTGAGCTGCATCCTCGCATTTCTATTTTTCTAGTTGCTCTGCCGGGAGGTGCTATTTTAAAAATCAGAAAACCACTTTGAATAGCTTCAATTACGCAAAGAGAAGGAAAAGGTATTGACAAAAGAGGAAATTGATGATTTGAAAATATTCAAAATAGGCTTGAAAATCTTAACATTTTATCATTTATTATCCATTTATTTCATTTATCACTCATAGTGCATTCACTTTATTTTAAATTAGAATTCAGAAGTTGGACTGCTTTTTACAAGCGAACTGCACTGAACGACCCATAGAACTGCGTTGGCCCGCGAGCCACAGTTTGGCCATTGCTATGTCATATTTAATTTCTATTAAAAGTGTCTCTCTTATTCGATACCAATTTTATCATTAGGTTTTGCGAACTTCCAATACTCAGTGAAGTTCTCAATGAAGCGATATCAATTTTTTATATAATTATTATATTTCTGAAGTTTATTTTTCCTTTGATTCCTCGAAAATTCCCAAAAATTTTATTTTTTACACTTTGTGCGAGCGACGATTTTACTACTCTTATGAATGCGATGAACAATGAATTAACTTTCAATCGTCTATCGAACTGCTTGGATATTGTAAAATAGTCGCTTTGTGTGGATGTATTTTAATGGAAATCAGCCAGAAAAACTCTTCTGGCCTAACGGTGTAGCGCCCATCAATTGCATAAAATTGCATTATATAATTGCATTTATTCACGATTTCGACATATATCACAATTGATAATAAGTTAAGTTTCGACTTTTCTTTTAGTTATGAGAGGGACTTTTTCACGCAAATGTCGTATAAGTTAATGATAAGCATTTATAACACTTTATCAAATTTTTATTTGACTAACAGTTATCCTCCAATTGAAAAAAATTAAATAATGTTAAGAGAAAATTTAAAAGTATTTTCTTAGAAAAATAATTCGAAAAAAAGAAACTACGGAAGATTGCAGAGCGATCTGAGATGGAAACACCAAGTTCATATTCATTTTCATACGGTAAACCGTTGTTGACCAAGATGATTGCCATTTCACCCTTGCAAAGAAGAATGTTAAAAAACACCTTCTTTAAAAGCCCGCATTGGACAAATATGCCAGAGAGTCCTTTGCGATAGAAATACAGGCGAGTCGCCAGCATCACCGGATTTCTGGACAGGTTTACTCCGGTGGGAAATCGAACCTCACCATCACCACTCCAAATTAAGCAATAACCCACTGAGCCATTCTACACCCATTGAACCGATTGTTACGCCTCCTTTTTTCCTGAAACATTCATCCCCAATGGACGTGCAACTCGACTTCTCCAGTCGTACCACACTTCAAACGCTTTTCTAACCGCACCACCTTTTTATAAAAACATCGGCGGTTATGTATTTTATTTTGATGTCCGAAGATTATCAATTGTCGGCTTTTTTAGTTTCCATGCATCGCGTATTTTTTCTGCTTTCAGAGTATTGAATAATAGGTATTGTTTAGAGTTCCGGTTTATATTAAAATAAAGGTTTTGGTAACAAATATCTTTTGTGGGAGTGATTGGTAGCCCAAAAGTGCAGTCTTTCGACTGATAATCTTCTGATAATTTTATCAGAATATGTAAAAAACCTCATTTAAATGTGTTTTTCTTAGAGAATTTTCGTTTAATTATTTAATTAATTATTTAAAAAATAATAAATTTTCTACAAATTTAGCGATTTTGTTTGGTGATCTTGAAATTTGGTCAATTAAAAATTAATTTATTCAATTTATTTTTCTATTTGTCGCGTTTAAATTAAAGGTACTCGGCTGAACGCGCAGTAATTTTCAGTTGTTTAGTAAATCTTCTTGAAGTGATTTATAGAAATAAATTTTCGCCGTCATCGATTATGTAACGAGCGAAAAATAAAGGGAAAAATAGAAAGGAAGAGGGGAAGAAAAAAAACAAACACCGCCGAAGAAATTTTTGCAATTTTTTGAATATTTAAGTATTTTTCTTTCAAATATTCATTTGTTTGTTTAGAAATATTTTCAAGAAAACCACCTTTTTTTTGTTTTGCAAAATTTTGAGTTTCCCTATTAAAGAAAATTTCAATTTATTAAAGTTGTTTAAGTTTTTTCCAGCTTTTTTTCAACATTTCTTTCCAATTAATTTAAAGATTATTGGAGGAATTCATTAACTGATTTTAGTGGAGAATTCGCTGACTATGCAAATTTTTAATCGTATAAGTGCTGAAATAAATGTAAGTTTCTGCGGCTTTAGAAATCGTTGGGCTCGAAGAATTAGTTGAAAAAGCAGCAGTCTGGTCGGCTGGAAAGTTTTCGTAATGCTAGTTTATCTGTTAAGAATTTTTGCCTTACAAATGAATGATGCTCTCTGATGTTGCTGCTACTTGTTCTCCTTTCTAAGATCCATTCTCACCATTTCTGGTTGCTTCGTTGCCAAACTCTGTTGGCCAAACAAATTTCCAAGGAGGGAAATTTCACTTGGCGGTAGAAGATGAATCGCCGTAAATGCTGCTACTTGCAAAATAAACATCAGAAAATTGCTTTTTTTTAAGAAATTTATTTTTGCATTTATTCAGATATCTAATTATTCAGATATTTTTTGTTTCAGAAGACGTTTCTAGAAGTAAAGGACGAACTAATCGTTCTTAAATGCATTGACTATTTCTGCTGTAAGTTTTCAGTTAAAACTTTTTAATTAAATGATCAATCAGACTATAAACATAACTATAGTAACAATCAGTCGGCAATTAGATGTTTATCTGAATGTGCAAATATTGCAAAAAATTGCCTAGAATTTTAACACTGGAAGCGATTCATCTGAACTTTTTATCAGCTATTAATTTTTTTGGATATAATTTCATTCCGAAAGTGATTAACTAAAATGATTTAGATGATTTGAGAGTATAATGTGCTACTTCGTCAGCATTTCGATCTCTTTCTATTCGAATTTCCTTTTAATTCAGGCAAATTCGATAATAAAACGAATTCTGCAGTACCGCTGTTTAATGACGAACAACTGGCAATTATTTTATTGCTTATTGGTTGCTCAAGTTCCCACACAAGTTCTTCATTAAACGATTTTTTAAATCAGTGCTTGAAAATATGTATAGCAAGAAATCAGCCGGAATTAATGGCAGTGCTTTATAAGATTTTTGAACATTCGCAATTAATTGGGAAACCAAACTTGGTTCATTTTTAGATCCGTTTTAACTTATTTTTTAAATATTTCTTTTTGTTTTTATAGTTTATAATTTTTGCTTTATTTCATTTTATCTAAGTTTGCCCAATATATTCCTTATTTATAGAAATTTTTATCGCTCTCCTGCAAGTATGGTTATTTACGATTTATTCACTTATTATTCAAATATTTTCGACCGTTATTTTTTGAAGCAGTTGAAGAAAATGATTCAGCCATTTCAATTCTGCGAATGAAATTTTATTACAAAGTGTTTTGGGGATTCAGAAAGGTGAATATCGGCAATTTCCCAGGTATATACATTCTTAGTCAATTAATTGATTAGGTAAAATTCTAGAAATTTTTTGAAAATTGTTTTAATTATTTTGTTTTTAATATTTTTTTAATAATCTTTATTCATTCAGTTTTTTATACAACTTTAAAAACATTATTTAGGCAAATTATTAGCATTTGGTGAAAATGGTGCTGGAATTTTGGGCATTGGCCATGATCGGCCAACAAAATTTTTATCGAATGTTCAAATTTCTTTAGCAAGTGTATCTGATCAGGTTATTTCCTCTTATTTCCCATTTACCGAAAGTTCATTACCAATTTTATCGCATTTTTATTGCTAATTTTTTTCTTATCGATATAAATAAAGGTTGATTTACTATTCATATTTTTACATAATATTTATAATATTTTTTGGATTATAATAACCATCATATTTCTGCAAAATGTTGAAAAGTTGGGCATCCTTTAAAATTATTCGTAATTTTTTATTTCAGGTTGCTTTCGGTCGCTATCATTCATTATTTCTTTTGAATGGTAAAGTATATTCTTGTGGTTTTGGCCTTGATGGCAAACTTGGCCATAATGATGAGAAAGATCGAAGTGTTCCTCAGCAAATTCAATTAAACTACGAAATTGTTTGCATTGCCACAGGTAATGCACATTCGGTTATTTGTTCTTATAATTCGGTAAGTCATAAATTTTTAAGATTTTAAGAATGGAATATGTCTTTAATTTAATTTGTTTTCAGTTTTTCAGTTCTATTTCTTGAAATTTACAATATTTTTTTGATGAATTAATGCAGAATTTTTTTCAAGATTTTTGTATTTGGACGAGATAGTGGTCAATTAGGGTTAAATCAAGGACGCATATTAAAGCCGACTTTGGTATATGTATTTGATGATCCTTTTGATAAGATTGTTAGATGCGTTACAAATGAAGAATTCACTGCTGTTTTCACAGAAAAGGTAGATATTTTTATCAGCTTTTGGTATTTTTGTCTTGGTATATGTTATATGTTATATATTATTTATTAATCATTTAATTAATATTTTTATTAATTAGTAATGAATAATTTACGAAGAAAACTTTATTAATTAATAATCAATGAAGTTATAAAGTTATAAGAAAAATGTATTAATTTTTATTTTCACTGTGATGTTTTATGCAAAATGCTACTCATTTTTTTTATTCTACTAATATTTCGACATTATTTCCTTGGCAGGGCCAAAGTATCGTATGTGGAAATATTCCTTGGCTGAATACAATTTTACCAAGATTTAAATTATTTCTTCATTGTCAAATATTTCATCGCAGTCAATTACACATCTTCGGCAGTATTATTGTGGTGCATAAACGAGGAAAATCCAGATATATGGAAGTATTTCTGATTTCCTGAAAACAAAATTTGTTTATTTATAAAGAAAATTTCTTGAAGTTCCTTTATTTTCTTTTCCATTAAGGGTAAGCTTTTCCATGAGTTTCAGTTAATTAATATATGACTGTTTTTTTATAGTTGCCGGATAGTTCTGTTGAAGAATTTTTCCATGAAGTCGTGCAAAATTTTGTTCAAATAATTGTGCAAAATCGGATTTTTAATATAAAATTTAAATCGCTTAACACAATGCGTTGTGTTGGTTGCTTCTCTCTGCAAAATCCTGTAAGTCCTCCAAAATCCTGTTATGCTTTTTCCTTTTTTCATCAACTGATATCACTTATCTTTTGATTTTCAGTTCAAATTTTCAGTTTGTTCAATTCAGCATGTTAATGCTGAATATAAAGTCTTCATAATAGAAAAAAACATTAAAAAAAAGATATTGTGGTAAAATTTTTCTTTGAAAAAATTTAGACAAATTAGAAGTATAAAATTTTTTTATTATTTATTGGTATGTTCTGATTTATTCTACTTGTTGAATCTGATCAAAGTATTTTTACATTTTTATTTTGTAATCATAAAATAAGAGGTAAGGATTAAATAGTATTAATAAGTTATTAGCTATTAAATAGTATTAATCAGTGTTCCTGAAAAAAAAATTTCTAGAAGGTTGTGTTTTTGGAAACAAATACGAAAAAACTGTTTATTTATCATCAGCATTGTCATGAAGATTTTCCAGCTGTTATTCTTCGTTGCGTTGATTGTCCGCATGAATTATGTGTCTTCTATATTTCTATAGCTGTAAATGGGGATTTCATTCTTGTTGATGAGGCCAGTTAATTTTTTAGAGTCTCAATTTTTTAGAGTTCTTTTTAGAAATTTAATTTTTAATTACCCTTTTCTTTATTTTAAAACATTACTTTATTTTAAAACATTATTTTAAAATAGATTTTTAAAAAAGACATGGGTTTTCATCCATCTAACGATACCATATTTTTGTAACAGCCAAATGAAGCTATTTCTATAAATTTATATAAATTTCTGAGATTTAATTAATCGATCTGTTTAAGGATTATCAAGTTTTTGAAGGAAGCTTTATTAATTTCGGTAAGTTTTTTCTTCTTTTGTTGTCACTTAAATTGGTCACGATTCTTCTTTGAATAGCGCTATCTAAAATTTGCTGAAGTTTATCTGAAATTTGGCTGATTTCATTGGTTACTTGGCTGATAAGACGTATAGATAAGAGGTTACTGGGGTTAGATATTCTAATTGGTTTCCAGCTGTCACTCGAGTTTTTACTTTTATTAACGAATTTGCTTCTGCAAGAGAATCAGATTGTGCCAGATTATGCTTGATCTTAGTCGAAGCATAAATGCTAATATTATGAATTTTATGAATATTGTGATTGTTTTGATTTATTCTGATAAAAGCTGCAATATTTTATATTATTAATATCATTTTCATTATGAAATTTTTGTTTAATTTAGATATGGGAGAATTTGTGATACCAGTTTATCGAGTCAGCCACATTTTACCAGCTCGAAAGTGTTTTATTTCTGAAGATGGTCGTAATAAAGTGATCGTGCTTTGCGATATTCATGTTCTTGATCATATTAAAAGCTTTAATATATTCGATGATGATCTTGATGCAGTTATGTTTCAATTTATTTTTAGTTTTTCATTTTCCTTTATGGCGAGAAACATCTTCCTTCAACGAAATGAAAGATATTCATTAAGTCCACGATTTTTTGGTGCTTGAAAATATAAAGTGCAGAATTATGCAATTGTTTTAGGATTCTCCTAATCCTCCTATAGATGATAAATTATCCATCCCACAAAATATGGAACAAATGATAGAAGTAGTTTGCATTAATAATAACGGAGCAATTCTTGACACGATTTTTTGTAACTGGTTTGTAATTTTTATAATATTTATGTTATTTATTAGTTTATTAAGACACCAAGAATTAAAAGAAAGTAATTTAACTCTCTACTCATTATATATAACCAAAGAAAATATTTCTTCTTTAATAACTTCTTTATAAAAAAATTCATGTATAAATTAGGCCATTGATTCTTATTTGTAATTTCAAACATCTTTAATTAAGTTACATTCTAGTTATGAACTTGTAAAGGAAAGCAAATATTGTGAAATATTCATGAAATGGAAGAATAATGGTATTTTTGAATGTGGTACACAAAAACCTTTGCAAATTCGATTACGTATTCAACCACATTTATTTGTTATTTTTAGAACATTTTGTCTCTCTAATTTCTCACTCATCACAAATGATTTGAGTACAGCTGAGGTTATTTGATTTTCTGGTATTTATAAATTTTTTTAGTTTAGGGTTTTAAATTTTTATAAATATATTTCATGAAAAGTAAATATTTGTTTAAAATATTTTAATATTTTTGTTTAAAATGGGTCATAATTTTTTTCAGTGGATTGATCTTTTGGTTTTTGCCGATTATTATCTCTGTGATAAATTTTTTGATAAAATATTGTTGGAAATTTTCAGAAGGCCAAGTCAGTTTTTCGCATTAAATTACTTTCTTTTAATTCTTGGTGCATAATTTATAGCATATTTCTAGTCCTGAAAAACTAGTCCTTTAATTTATAAAATTTTTATACGTATATGAAATCATAATCTTTAGCGAATTTCCCATCTAATTTAATAGTTTTTCTCTCATATCTAATTTATTCTAGTTGATTTCTCATTTCTTCGGATATTGTACGGAGTGGCAAGAAATTTGATTTATCGATGGAAACTCGATAAGTGCATCGATATAGTCAATGCTCTTTTATTCCCTTTCTTACTTGAAACGAATATCATGGATGATTTCACTGATGAAGAGTGGAAACGTATGGAGAAAACTTATATTGAAATATATTTCCCCGAAAATCATATGAAGAACATTTTTGAGGAATTTGATCCAAGTGAAATAAAATTCATTCAGTCAGATTCAAGGTTGCAGGTAAAGGAGTTTTTGTTTGATTTTCTGTTTTTTGTTTGTTTGATTTGATTATCTTCTTTTTTCGTCGTACTCTTTATATTTAGATTTGTATTGTTTTTTTTTTCTTTTAGAATGTGGATTATATCGAGAAATTGATCAAAAATATAGAACAGATTCTTAATAAGAAGATCAATAACAATTTCACTGCTGTATTTATGGAGAAATGGTATTTTAATCATAAATCTAAAGCAGACGGAAGCTCCATTTGTTTGTCAGCTTCAAAAGAATCTGGACCTGTGGAAAATATTTTGATTGTACCACATCGAAATCAAAGTTCTCAGAAACTTGAGTCCAATGCAAATCAGTTCTCAACTTTATTCAATTCCACCTATATGAAGTCTGATATGCATGGTTCCAGTGGTCAAGATGAAAAACGACAGTTACTCCATTCGTTAGAAAATTCACATTTGCAGTAATTAGTTTCATGCGATATTTTTTAAATTTTTTAGATATCTTTTCTTAGTTATCTTTTGGATTCTTTTAGGTATGGAGAAGCTTTAACTATTATCAGTGATGAAGATTCACATGATATTTCGTCAGATTTTGAAATCCCTGCTTCAGATTTTGTCATGTCACCTAATACTAATCGTAGTTCGCCATGGAGCTGTAGTTTTGACAAGAATCAATTATCACTCTCAGAAATAATGGCAGAAGAGGAAGAGATTGAAAAAAGATTGAATTTAAGAAATAATAAGGCAAAAGTTATTGCCTCAAGTACTAAAGCAGCAAGTCAAAATAGTACGAATCCGTGGGGAATTCATCTGGTAATGCTTTTTTAAATAATTTTTACTGCAGTAATGTAGTGTTGCTTTGGCTATGAGATGAAAAGATGAAACATGGCGAGTTCTACTCCTGCACATTTTAAGAGTGAAATCTAATTCGGCTGGCTCAATATGTACTTCTATTTTTAATAATTTTTTTTTCAGTCAGAAAAAAATGCTATAATTCATGATCCTGCTTTATCATTCAAAGAAATAACCGCCAAAGATGAAGAAGAAGCAAAACTTGGAGCTCGACGATTACATGAATCGTCATTATCTATTGTGGAATTGTTAGTTTTTAAATTTCACTGAATTTATGGCACAGATATTCAATGTCATATTGCTTTCAATTCATATCCCGAAGTTACATGTATCATTATCCCACTGAATTTATGAACATAAATGAATGATTTATATCATATTCTGCTTGAACAGAGTTGAATCTAATTAATTTTGACATCGAATATTTATTAAACTAAAATGGAACATTTTATTTGTGAAGAGAAGATATCGCGATGAACGAAATCAAGATGTTGTATGAAGCTACGTTCGATGAATTTGCTGCAACAATAACAGTGGAGCGTGATGTTGGTGCTATTCTTCTTCCCTTGTGGCGAACAAGGAGCTATGGGAAAAAAAATTGTTGAAGTTTCTAAGTTTTTATCTAAGTTATCTAAGTTTTCTATTTTTATATCTAAGTATATCTAAGTTTTCGTGGCTTTGTTTTATTTTTTCTACAATTTTTAAACATATCAGAACACAAATATTAGGAATTTTAGAACTCCACAAGGTTTTTTTTGTTAAAAGTGATTTCACGCTCGGCACCTGACCTCCAGACTTTCAGTTTAACCTCTAAAATTTAGAACAACGCCTAAATTCCTGTGGGCAATCTAGTCTAATAATCACTTCCTCAAAATTTTAAATGAGTAACGCGATGAAATCATCTTATCTGCATGATTGTCTTCAGAATAACATCTCTTAACTCATAAAATTGTATTCTGTAATCTATGTTAATATAACTAGGAGTTAGGCATTACCATAAATTGTAATAGAAGAGAAAGTGTGAAAGGGGAATAAATCTATGATTTGATTATGTTTTAGGTTTTAATTATGTTTTAACTACGTTTGCGCTCCTCCCCTCCCACTTTGCTGCTAACTGGGTTTCAGAAGCATTTATGATTTGTTGTATTGATATGTTTTTTATGGAATTTTCAATTATATAATAATCGATTAACAATAATCAGTCATAAAACTGATATAGCTATAAAGAATTTATACAAGTCAACTTTTACTATTTTCTACTTGCTTCTTGAGAAGATCACGTACATAGTCATATATAGGTTTACCGTAGTAATTAACGAATAAGAAATTACGTTTCGTGCACGAATTCACATTCATTAAATTTATTTATACATGCTATATATATTTTTATACAAATAATCCGAAGTAATATGTTGCAGATGCACTGATTCTTCTAAATAGAAGGTTTTTTATACAATTTCATAATGTATGTGGATTCTTAATTTTCGAAATTTCGAAATAAATCAGTTCGTTTGTACTTTTTGCATAGATTGTAACCTTTGGAAGCCAATTTTTGTTTTTGTTTATAGCATCCTAACTTTTGCAGATACTTCATATTCCTTTCACTCCCATAACCCTAATCTTCGTGATTTTATATGTAATAGGGTCGTATGAGTCATATAGTTTTTCCGAGCGATTGCGCAATGGGCTCTACAGAGATCTCTTATATTGTTCCTGGAATCTATTGAAACCACTTTTCTCGTTTAGATCACAGCTGCTAGTGCTCGCTGACGAACTATCTAGTTTCTCCAATTATTCTTTCAACTTAATATTTTCTCTGTTTCTCATATTCCTTCCTGATATATCACATAGTCATATGCGTGATAGATGAGATATAGAAATTGCGAAGTGGTCCGCGAATGGCACAAATATTGCGGAATAATCAGTGGAGCTTCATGAATATATTTTGCTTGCTGCGAATTTATCTGGAAATTGTGCTTTGCAAACATTCAAATTGGCCTTTGATTGCCTGGATGATCTCAGTTCTAATAGTTCACTTATTCTCGTTGTTATGTTTGTAATTTCCTTGCACACCTTTGAATAAAATTTCTTGCAAAGTGAAGCATCAACTGAAGTACCATTCTATCATTTCGTCGATAGATGATCGCTTTCCAGATTTTTATCATTTACTGGTAACGAAATGGTGAAAATAACTGGTAGTTTTAGTTGTCGGGCGAGCATCCACAGATGAGCAAATTCATTTCATGCACTCAGCATGATGAGAAAGCATTTTTGTTGCAGAAAAACAGCTGTAGGAGGACGAAAGGCGACTGTTTTCTATCCTCGAAATTTATGCTGCGTTAAAATTCGTTCATCTACTTCGTTCCAGAAACATTTTAAACAACAGTCAGTAAATTTTAACTGTCATAGGTTTGTGTGTCATATAATTTCCATAGTAACAGAATTGCATTTCTCGCCTTCAACATTTTTTTTCAATGTTAATCTGGCTTAGCTGTGGTTCTGCAAAGTGTGCTTTGTATAATTAATTTTGTTGCTAGTACTTTCTTAATTTAAAATTCTGATTTAATTTAGCTGAATCCCTTAAAACGTTTCGAGCTGACATGGGAATTTTTCGAGTTTAATGGAGCCCTCTTCGTCGCTGATTTCCTAATTTACGACTTTGAGTACCATTTCGTCCGGTGGAAATAGTGTTGGTTATGACGAAGGCGGACCTCTTTTCGCACTACAGATAATTAAAATAAATATCCAAAAAAAAATTCCAACGCATTTTTGGTTTTATATAGTTTATCATAGCAATATTTATTTATTTTTTATTATTTATTAAATGTGTTTTAATGGATGAACGAATAGCAAGTAATGCCGAGTCGAAGCATTTACGTTGCATTTAAAATCTGACGCTAATAAGTCCATGGTGCACGTGCAAGTGGCAAAGATGGATCCAACAGGTTATGTACCGCAGTCGGATGCAATAGCCGACATAGCTTTACGTTATGCTGAAACTGGAAATCTTAGAGTGATAAATGTTATAATTTTATCATTCATTATTATCGCTTCTTTTTTACTGAATCTTCTTTTGCTGTCGACTATTCTTTCAAGGTTTGTTGACCGATTTATTGTTTCAAATTATTAGGTAATAAAAAAAAGAGTTTTTTTGGCTACTTAGTAGAATAAATTTTTGGGTGCGTGCAACTACTGGGATTATATTTTTATAGGTTTTTTTCTTGCTGTCAATCCCATCTTTTTGCTTTATTTCCGCAGCAGTTATTATATTTATTGTTAAATTGTGTTTGTTCGTTTTCGTCCTAAAGAAAAATTCATGCAATTCATTTTTCTAATATTTATTCCTTTTCTTTATTTAATATCGATTTATGAATTAATTTAGAATAAGGTCGGTGAAATGTGCATTTCAGCAGAGCTCTCCGTGCACTTGTTCTGCACTTATTATTTTGCCATCTTGCTGTGCTGAATATCCTCGATGTTATTAGCGGAGCGCTTATTTCCATATTATTCGTAACGGATGATTCGTGGCTCGTTGCCGACTTATTTTGTCGATTTACAGTAGCACTAGGAGAAGTGCGTTTCCTTTTTATTGCATTTAACAGCGCTTTTTCTTCTAATATCGGTGGAGAATCTCAGAAAAATCTATATTTCTCGTCAGACCCGCTCCGTTTGTTTCTCGGCCAGATAAATTTTACCAGGAAGTTACTTGGCAATGGAAGTACGGGTGAATGGCCAACATTGCCTGGATTTTCGAAGGCCAGGTCTTTACTCTTGCGGGGATTAGGGATTAGGACTGCACCGTCAGCGTTCTGAAATTTGAGCAGTCCATCTTGCCATTCTATTCTCTTTTTCAATCTAATGCGAAAATAAATTTGGTTACGTAAATTGCCTTATTTTGGCCGAAATAACTATTTTTATAACTTTATCTTTATTTTCAGAGAATACGTGATTTTCTAAGCTCAAATTTTTTAAATATTCCTCATCAATGAATCAAATTTATTATTAAATTCGATTCTTATCATTTGATAGAAGAAAACCTAAAAAATTTAATAGACCTAATTTTATTAATTTTTATAATTTTCAGTTTATAAGATTAGAATTATTATTAAATTTGCTTTTAATGACATTGGAACGTACCATTACATTTCTTTGTCCACAACGATTATTTTTTAATGCTCAAAGAATATTGGCTACTATTTCATTTACTTGGCTCATAAGTTTCTCTTTTGCTCTTGCAATTCTAATTTCTGATATACCAGTTAAAGCATATAAAACACTTTATGCTTGCGCCATTTCGAGGTATTTTTTTGCACTTTTGTGCTTTAGTAAATAAATTTTAATATTTAGTAAAAATATTGTAAACATAATATTTATAAATAGATTTAGTATTGTAAATATTATATATTATAAATAAATATTATAAATATAATATTATGAATAAAATATTATTTATTAATATTACGTAAACTTCATTTAAATTCATTTAAATTTTATCCGAACTCGTTATTCCATATTTATTTAATTTCAAATTTATTTTAAAATTTTTAAATAATTTTTAAATGTATTAATTTTTTAAATATATATTTTAACTATTATAATTTAGCTATTGTGATTGTAATTTTATTTATTATTAGTCTATAATGTTCAATAATAATTTTAATTCGTCGCGAGGAATATTCATATTAATTATTGTTAATTCTTTCAACCGTTTCACATATTTATTCAAAAATTTCAGTGATCTGCCAATAGTTTATCCAACATTCCGAATAATTATCTACTGTGGATCTGCATTTTCATTGTTTATTTGTTTTATTGCGATAAATTCAAGAAAAAATCTGTTAGAAAATCGATCATTACGGTTAAATTCACCAAAAAATTTAGATTTAATTAAAAAATCCCGCGCATTACAAGAATTTTTGCGGATAGCAAAGCTTATTTTATCGTTGGTAGTTATTTTCACTATCACATTTGGTTCCCAAATAATATTTCAATTTTTTATTGAAGTAAGTTTGAAGAAATTCAAATTAATTTCAGCTTTTTTTCATTTTTATTTGTTTTATAACTGCGAAAATATTTTCGCTATGGACGAATTGTAGATTCGCAATAGCCGTGAAATGCTAACACATGGAAATGGTATATTTATTGTTTCTGGCGATATTTATGCGATATTAAATTGGATGAAAAACATAAATGCGATTCTTTCTCCCTTAGTGGTATTTTTCGTTGTCGGAAATATTTATAATGCAAGTCTAATAAAAACTAATCCAATGAATTTCTCAAAAAATTTCATTAAAAATTTGATTTAATTTTATTTTACTAAATGAATTTATCCATTTAGATTTTATTCCATGCCGATGGATTTCTTTCCAAAATCAACCTTTCAGATTTATTTTGTATGTGGAGACATTTGGTTGAAGTTACAAAATCTGGTCTGTTGCCAGGGACCGAGAACATTTGCTGTTGGAAGTTGGTCTATAGGTCAGTAAAAAATTATTGGCAAAAATCAGTATCAGTTTTGCAGTTAACGAAATTTTGACGTGATTTTGGGAATTTTTAACGAAATTTTATTGAAAAATATTTAAAATAGTTTTCTACAGAGAGCAGTCGTATGGATCTTGATGAAAGCAATGCGATAACTCTTTTTGCTACACCCGAAGGACTACGTTTCCAAATTCCAAATCAGAATATTTCAAGAGAGATGCAAATACAACAAGCTGTACTGCATTCTGGGAATTAGTCAGCCGCTAAAATGGTTATTTGTTTTTATTTATAATATTGTTTTTATTTATAATATTAATATTTATAATATAAAAGTTATGGGTAAAAAAATCTTTATATATGTTTACAACTGAAATTTAAGAGGATAGATATATGAATATTTTCAAAATAATCGACAATCAACTAGTGATTAATCGAAGCAGAATGAACCAGAACAAGAGGATCAAATGCCCGGGAAATCAATGCTTTATGGTATCCGTAAAAAAATTCAGAATTCCGGAGACTAAACAGTGCGATAAACATATAAAAATACATCACAATAAGTGTAGAACATTACAGCAAAACTGGAGATATTAATTTTCGATTTTGCTTCCTTTTTATAATTTCGTGATTCTTTTTAGAATTATTCTTATATTGTCTATATTTAATTATACAATTATAAGTATCATAGAATTAATCATAGATTATCAAATTTCAAAATTAATCATAGATTATCAAATTTCAAATTTCTAACTTCATTTTCAATATCAAAATATCATTTCATAAAACACAGTTAAGTCAAAATCCGTTTGCAAAAAAAGTTGATATTTATCAATTTTATCAATTTGTCAATTTTCGCCATAACGAAATCCATGCATCCGTTTATCATCGCCGAAGTTTTTGCATTATACACGATAGGTGAACCGTTTAAAATGCAAACACATTTAGACTTAATTGTCTATAGGTCAAAGGGTTGGAATCCGAATAAAACAACTAACAGTCTCAACCGCATAAGATTCAATGAGCAGAGCATGAAAATTGTTCGACTTTTAAATCTGGTTCGCATTTGTGAGCAAGAACAGGACATATTGCTTATATTGTCATAATACTGGCATTTTCAAATTATCTCTTCCTTTTTTTTTTATAGAAGTTCAGAAAACAGAGCTGAGGCCAATACTTCAACCTTATGAGAGTCTGCAGGAAAATTAAGCCAACTCACACAATGAATTAATGCTAACTTGAACTAGGTCTGGAGAGTGCGCGAAAATTGAGTAGTTTTTAGCCAGAGATTCTAAGGATCGACTATTTTTCTATCTGCAAATGCATTCACTGATCTTACTATAATGAATTATTTTTTAAAGGCACTTATTGTTGCTGATCACCGTTGTCTTACCTCACACCCCTGTCTTGTCGAACGGAGTAGAACCTCAGCATCGTCTCTCCAAATTGTGCAACCACTTACTGACCGTTCTACTCTCTTTGTTACTCTGTTAGACGATATTTCCGCTCGATGAAGAGTAATTCGTCGACCGCATTAGAACTAAAGCCCCTCGGTTTTCTCAGTGATTATCTTGACCACCGATGCGCCCAACCAGTAGAACGAGCTTTACTGGAATTGGTAAATGCGCAGAAAAAAGCGTAGAAAACTTGGCAAACTCGGTAAAATGTAAACAGTGCGATCGTCATTGAAATTAGTGAAATAAACCGATAATAATGTTCTTTATCAGTATTATTATCATATTCGGCATGATAATGTTGAATGAGTTGCTAGTGGAATCAGATGAAACTAAGAAATAATAGTGCGAATTAATAGAACAGGTTCGGATTACTGATAAAAACTTGGACTTAAAATATTTAAAGTATTTAAAACATGGAGTTAAAATATTTGTAAAAATAAAGCTGAAATTAATTTGCATTGCATGAAAATTTCGCTTATATCTCGATGGAGTTGGCTGAGATCGATAGAAATTTCGAGCGAAATAGGCTCTTTGCTCCTTCTTTATTGTTCATAAATCGATCGAAATATTTTATTTTACTTTTTTATAAAATTTTAAATGATTTATTTCCTTGCATTTCTAAGAGATCTTTCAAGTTTTTGCGCTTTTTTGCAAGAAAACTTTTATTCTTTTTTTGGCACAAAAGATTTTTTGCCAATTTTCGGCAAATGATGAATTGTCCGCATAAATTGCTCACATAATTAATAAATTTATATAAAATATAAATTTATGACTAATTTTTCTATTTTTAATTTATTATCAACGATAGTCTTCGAAAGATATTGCGCGAAAATTCACTTAGGGAATGAGGTGAGTTCGATTTCGATTAGACATGCGTTTCAAAATTTTCTTCACATTTTTTCATTTTTTCATGACATTGGAATGAAAAATGTTTGAGAATCCTATCGATCCATTCGGAATCCAGTCGGATCCTCTCGATTGTTCAACATTCGCATTATGAATAATTACAGACTGCTGTTGTGTTGCTAAATTGAATTTAATGGATAACTGATAAATTGCTGAGAAATGTAAATAAAGATAACAAATGATAAATGATAAATGGAATAGTGAAGAGATAATAAATAACAAGTCCTCTTTTAATCCCGTGATCACCTAAAGCAAAATTAAATATTCCAGAAGAAATTTATTATTATGGTCATCTAAAATATTTTTTTGAAAGAAGCGAGAATAATCTCATTTAACTGTTAATTACTAATTACCAATGCTATTACTTACTTACTAATTGCTAATTAACTATTATTAATCAGTTGGCGAGTGGATAATTGACCAAAAAATGTATAGCAAATCGGCCTGCAATATTCATATTCTCTTTCATATTCTCTTCTTATTATTAATGTTTTTGAAATTTCAAAGTCATAAATTTGCAGTAAATGAAATTCATAATCGAAATATTGGTTTAAACATGTCACTTCCATCACTGAATGATAATTCCCTTGATAATTTGTATCAGTGGTTGAATACTGTGCCGCTTTCAAAGGATATTAAAAATATCGCACGAGATTTTTCAGATGGAGGTTAATTTTATTAAATTAGTTCATATTTTTCATATTATTTAAAGATAATATTTGGCCTAATATTATTTTAGATGAGCATAGTTTAAAAATCATAGATTAAATATCATAGATTAAATTTTTTTGCTTTCTAAAAACGCTCATTGTTCTAGTTAGGCTCGCTCTACTGGCTTATCTAAGACTGGAGACTTTTGCCAGGGGTCATTCGGCCAAGAAGTGGCGTGAGTCATCGGCATCAGCTGGATTTTTGGAAGACTGGTTAATTCCTGCCGATAGTAGAACCCCAATATCGGAGCCCCGAAATGGGAGCAACAAGCCACTGAGCCATTTTACCTGTTTTATGGATTAAAATAATTTTTAAATTTTAAAATAATTTATATAACAATTTAATAATAATAATTAATGCAATAATTTAAAATATAAAATAATTAATAATTTTTGATTAAAAATAATCTCATGGATTAAAATAAAAATAATTTTATAATAATTTATCGTATGATTAAAAGGTGTACAAATATATTGAAAGGTATATTGTATTAAAAAGTATATATATTAAGGATATGTATTATCAGAAGATTTTCTTAATAATCTCAAAATTTTAGTATTAATTGCTGAATTAATTGCTCATTTTCTTCCACGTTATGTTAATTTGTCAAATTTTACATCCGTCAATTCAAAGGCGCTAAAACGATACAATTGGGAAACGCTTAATAAGTTGGTGTTTTTCCCTAAAAGCTACTCGTTGTTTTCATTTCTGATGAGGCTGTCTATGTTGCTTGTCGCATGCGACAGATTTTGTCACTCTGCCATAGAAAACCTGAAGACATCCTTTAAAATTAATTTCATTTTTTCTCATTTCACACTTTTTCAAGTTTTGTTCGTTTAATGTTTTTTAATTTTTTATTATTGTTTTAGAAATTCGGGATGGAAATTCCATAGAAAATTTGTTTAAGGAAGCGTAAAAAACATATTTCAACATTTTCCAGCAACATTTTCAAATAATTTCTCTTGAGATCAAAGAAAAAGTGAATAGGAATGAATACATTTTGCAGAATGGTATTTGTTCATTTGGATTTGCATCTGAATCAAAATTTGATAAAAAAAGTGACATTATGCGAACCTGGTGCTATCGAATTCGTTCTGTTTCGTTTGAAGGAGAAGATCGAGCAGAAACAAAAAGAAGGTCGCTTTAAACCAAATCGGCATCGAAGCAGAAGCGCAAATCGTTGTTAGTGCTGAACTTCTAGCGAAATTTTTTGCGAATAATTTTTTAAAATTAACTTTTGTTGAATATGCGCCATGATTAATGTTTGGAAAGTCGAGTTGATAATATCACATAGTGAGAAAATTACGAATCAAACGTGCATAAGAGAAAGAGTTATAAAAGTGGAAGTCAACAGTTCTAAGAGTTATATAAGAGTTATTATAATAGTTATTATATTTATTATTATTGTTATACTATTATTTTTTTTATCTAAGAATTATTCTTCGACATTTTGTCTAGTGCACTTCGCCCATATCTTTGTTTAACGCATCTATCGGCTTTCACTAACGGATCAATTAGGTTTAGAAGTGCGAATAATTTTGGCAGTTGTGTTCTCAACTACAATTTGAAGGTTAGAAATATCATTTTTTACAACAAAATGGTACTTTTTCAGGTGGAAGCAATGTGAGTTTGAATACACTGGGAAATGAATTTGAAAATTTGCAAACAACGAACTCGACTGCCAATGTCAGTGAAAAAAACAGTGCAAAGTATTTTGTTATTCCTTTATTCCTGACTCCATAAATTTTTTTTTCATGAATTATGAGGCATTTCATTTCACATTCTCACAATTTTTATGAATAAAGCATGCGTCTATTGACTGTTGGTTCGAATCCATTTCCATTTTTTTGCAGTGAACTTCTGTTTAGTTTATATTTGACGATAATAATGGTAAGCTAAGTAAATTTTTTTAAAGAGTTTTCACCATTACTGGTTAAATTCCTGGACAAATATGCCAGAGAGTACCTTGGCAATAGAAGTACAGATGAATCGTCAGCATCACCCGGATTTTTGGACAGGTTTATTCCTGCGAGAAATAGAACTTCAGTAGAGGCACTCCGAATTGAGCAACAAGACACTAAGCCATCCTATCCCCAAGCTAGTAAATAATAACGTTAAACCTTCTTTTAAATTTAATTTTATGGCGTTTACTAATAATGAGCATAATAAATATCATGGTTTACGTTTGAAAAAGTATTTGCATTCAAAATAAAATATAAAGAAATTATTTGCCATTGTTTTTGATTTATTGGCCGAGAGTAGAATAAAATAGTGTTGAGTCAAGTGAGTAGATCATTTTTTAGGCATGCAAAGTGGCATAAAAAAGGTTTTTATAAAATTTTATAAAATTTCCGCCGAAGATCCCATAATTCGTATTGATTCACTCATTACCTGTTTTATTTTTTTCCAATTCTTTTCTCTTTTAATTTTTTCGACTTTTAATTTTATATTCATCGCCGATTTTCAAATGTGACCTTTTGAAATTGAATTTAAATTTTATAAGTCATTTTTCAGGCATTTATCTCCTTGTCAACAGCAACTTCCCAATGTTTTACATGGAGAATCAGCAGTATTTCAACAAAAATATCATGAACTGCAACAAGCATTACTTGTTAAAGATGAACATATACAAGTTATTAAAAATTTCGCATCCAAATATTTTATTCATATTTTCATAATATATATCGTATATATTTTTCTTTTCATTATTGTGCGATAGTAAAACCAATCCAATTTGAATAATTTCCTGTTTCTTTTCTTTCTTTATTTTATTCAATATAAATTTCAAGAATTAAAAATTAAATATGAATAAAAAGAATAATTATAGAAACTTTATGCGCGAATACGGCATCTCGAACGGCTTATTGCTTTGAAGGATAATCGCCTTGCAGAAATTTCCCTACAAATGGATAAAATATTGCGTTTTAAATACGCAGATCAAGTAATATTACTGTTTTATTGTTTTTAATAGTGATTGCCAAATTAAAGATTTCAGCCTATACTAGATGATATGGCATATGAAGTAAAGTAAAATAAGAGTAGAAAAGCAAAAATCATAAGTAAAATCTAAAAGGAAAGTATTTCCAGACAAATACCTTTTTACGTCGTAAAGTGGAAAGCATTCCTGCCAATTTTTTTATTCTTTTGTTTTTTAATCCATTGTTTTTTTTTAATTTCCTTGCTCGTTAGGCTCACTCCGCTGGCTTGTGGGACCAAAGTTTGCCATGAGTTGACAACTGGAATACAGATGAGCCGCCATTATTCACCTGGATTTTTAAGGGACAGGTTTACTCGGATATAGGACCTCAGCATCGACGGTCTAAAATAAGCAGAATAGCGCATTGAGCCATTCTTTTGGCTTTCGTGATATTGTCGCCCCCCGAAAAATCGTGGTGTGGTGCATAGACAGGATTTGAGCCCATTCTCAATCACCGTATCACTAAAGCACCATCAATTTTTTTCAATTGTAGTTTTTTCTGTAGGCAGCGAATCTGAAATCACCAGTAACACCGGATTTACACATGGACATATACTCAAATGGCGGTCAAAGCTCGACAACAACTATGACTCAAGATGGAATTTTCACCTCAGATCGATAAAAACAAAATATCAAATATCAAATCAAATCATTAACATTAAATGAATAGAACTTTAAGTTTTTTCCCTTTTCTTTTGATAAGAAAAAAGATTATCATTAGAATAATGCAAAAATATAAATTAACAGATTGGCCAGACGATGTTAATTTTTTTAACATTTAACTAATTAATAAAACCATAAGTCGGGATAAATCGGGTTTTAACGGTGCTAAAGCAGCGCTAAAAATTTTTATGATTTAAGATTTTAAAGAATTAAATTCCTTGAATTGATCTTTTTTTTTTACCCTTTTTTGATTAATAATGTAATTGGTAGTGGAAACACATATTTCAATCAATTTTTTAATCGTATGATTAACGTAATAAAAAATTTCAATTGTAACAACTATTACAAATGAAGAAATAAAATGCCTTAGGGTGAGAACAACATGAATAAATCATCGGCGTAATCAGTAATTGCATGATTATACAATAAAAGTAAAAAGAAAATATGCATTTTTGAATGCAATTATAGTTAGTAAAATTATTAAATCAAATCATTTAAAGTATTTTTTGAATTAATACTTTAAACAAAATTTTATTTTTTATTCTTTGATCTCTTTTTATCTTTGAATAAATTTGGTATGATAATTTTTTTACGATGAAGTAAATAATTCAATTATTAAATTGAATTAAAAAAAAGTAAAAGTTTTAATAAGGCGGAATTTTAATAAAGAATAGGTCCATAATTAGTGGTACTAATTTTCATCGATCATAATATGTTCGGTTATAGAATTGCAAAATTTTATCAGAAATAAAGAATTCATTGAACCGGATTATATAAATTATAGAAGCAAGAAGCAAAAACAGCAGAAACCGGATTACGAAAATCGAGTTTCTTTTAAGTGCTTTTCACTTATATAAAAGCAAAATTGGTGGTACTAATTTTCATCGACCGCACAGCTATTTTTTTAGTCTATAAATTGATCGACTTTTCCCTCACTTGCTCATCCTATATTATGCTAGGATTTTATGTAATTATCTTTTCATTCTTAATAACAATCGCTGATGGATGTTTCACATCAGGGGTTTGCCAACATTGCATACCTATGCCACAACCATCATGTTCAACAGGTTGCAGCACCGGTTACTCGTGTGGTCACTATGGTTGTTATTCGAGAGCACGAGCTAGATCATCGAAAACACTTAAGAAAATTGGAAGCTTTGAAGTAAACTTTGATTTTGATCTTAACTTTTTTATGAAATAGAGGCTATAATTTTTTTGATTTTCTATCCAACTTATTAGAAGAACAAGTAGTACGAAAAATTCGGGTCATTTTATGTTGTTCACCCTGAAAGACGGCAAATTTGTTGAAATTTTTTAAATTATAACATTTTGAATCAAGTTAAGCACCACTCTTCCACTTTTCCTGTGATACAAATGCATTTATTCCATTCGTGCTTCTGAAACCAGTGAACTAACGGAATATATTTTTAAAGCCTTACTGTTTTCTAAATATTTCTTAATGAAGTTGTTAATAAAATGAATAAAATGAAATTTGTTAGTGAGAGATTTGTGGAATATGGTGGTCAAGACAAGACATGATTCTTGGCACTGTAAGCTAGATGAGAATTTCTGGTGGAATATTTCTAATTCTTTACTATAAGACTCAACTGCAATCGTTGTACCAGGTCTTAGAAAGAGCGGATCAAGCAAGTAATAAACAGTAATTGTAGAATTGATCTTTGAGCGAAGGTCGAGCTTTATTTTAATCAAAAAGATCCATCTTTACACCATTGCGTCAACTTTTTCATATTGTTATGTAGAATCTTTTCATCAAAATAAAAATCCGTTCAAGTCATACGGCATACCTTTACCTGATTCCCAACCAGCTCGTAGAGTGCTCAAACTCTATTTCCTCCTCACTTGACGCAGGTAATTTCACAAAGTATCATATGAAACGTCAAGCACTTGCGCTAAGACTTTACTGAGTTGTCTTTCATCAGAATTCATTCATCAGTTTCTTCAGAATTCGTCTATACAACTTAAGGCAACTTGAGGCATCATTTAGTTTTTTTTTTCAGTCTTTAGGAACACCAAAAATTGCTTACACGATTAACCTCCATCGCTCCAATTTAAACTCATAAAGTATCTCAACTCGAGTTTCATGCCATACCAAATTTAAATTCAAATCACGGAAATTTGAAATCACTCGCTAATTTTGCAATGAAAAGCAAATTAGTATGGCTAGCGGAACGATAAATTGACATTAGATATTTTTTTTTCAAGAGCATTCATCATATCTGACTGTCCACTCTCTCGTCGGATCAAATAAATTTTGCTAGAGATTTGGTGGCAGAAATTCAAGTGAGTCATAACATAACCTGGATTTTTGAAGATTTATGTCTGCCGGATTTTTCTTTTTGTTTTCGCCATTCAGCGACATTACTTGATGAAGACGGCCAGATTTGAACCCGAGCCATTCGCAGTTATAGTCATTTGCATCTAAAGTGTCCAACGCATCCATGTCAACAAACGTGCATAAGAATTTAAACATTCGGTAACAAATCCGGACACCAAAAAAATGGTCCGGATTTTTCGGCAACCATTATTGCATTATAATTTGGAAATTCCGTTTTTTGGCTATATAAAGCTCGTTTTACCCAAAATTTTTGTGAGAAAATTTTAGTAAGATCAAATTATATTTCAATGAGCAAATATAATATTCCAGAATACAGGTTTGGAAAAATAAGTAGTAATGTGCTTTAATATTCAGTGGAAACTTGTTAAATGATGCATAAATTATCAGCATAATAATGAACCGGTGTTGAAATCATAAATAATAATTATATGAACGCATCTACTGATGAAATAATTGGCTCATTTTATGCTTCAACAGAAATACAGACATTTCAACAATAAATAAAATTATTTTAAAGGATGAGGATGAAAAAAGTTTGGTAACTGAACTCCAAAATCCAAATGAAAAATTTTTTAATTGTTGTGTGGAACGGAATCTTCCTGATGCTTGCTTGCAAAAATGCTCATTTAATACATATTCGAGAAATGCCTTACAGGTATTAAAACCTTTTTTTTCAAAAAATGTGGCATTAAGTATTCACCAGAATTCAAAAAGTCATAATTTTATTATAAAAAGCGATTAATTAAGAGATTTACTCCTATCTCAAAATCGTGCTCAGTGATAATTGTCAAATTTTTGTAATTGTTATCCGAGAGACAGTAGGATAAAGTGTGGATAGTTATCATTTAATTCTCAATATCAAGTGTTCTAAAGTAATAAATAATTGTGGCCCCAGCAAGCTTTATACCAAACTATCCACTTTTTAAACTTTTCTATTGTACCTATACCATCAAGCGGATAGGGTAACTCAGTGGGTCAATTCGGAGGGCCAATACTGAGGTTCTATTTCTCGCAGGAATAAATCTGTCCAAAAATCCGGGTGATACTGACGACTCACCTGTAATTCTATCGCCAAGGGACTTCCTGGCATATTTATACGGTGCGACAAGCCAACGGAGCGAGTTTAACCAGTCTATTCTATTTTTGAGTTTATTTTTTTTAAGTCTCTTAAAAAAAATATCATCAAACGGAGGAATTATGGAATACATGCACGAAATTAAAATGGTCTTTTCGTCAATATTTGGAGACAAAAATATAGACAGGTCTCGAAAATCATTTGATATTAATTATAAATATCAATGACAGGCTTACTTAAGTATCAATTCAGATAATGTATAAATGATTATTCTCATAATCAGGACCATTTTTAAAAGCAAATATTTTTTTAGGCAATGTTTTTCCGCTCAGATCCTTGTCCAATGCAGGCTGCTAGCGATATACACTTTTGCGCAGCTCAAGGACAGGATCACCGACAATGTTGTTTATCTAACGGAGTTGCAGCAACCATTGCTGGTGCAAAATGTTTGACATTTTGCGATCAGGTAATTATTTCCTTCATGTATTATGATTAGCTTATATCAGCTCACAGAAATGATTTAAAAGTTAAAAGCAATTTTATGTATTTCTTCATGTCGCTTTCTTAATTTTTAAAGAAAAGAAAACTTTTGACAACAGAAAACGTAAAAGTACGCTTGCAGCAATTGCAGCAATTTTCTTTAAATTTACTGTTTCTTTGAAGTTTTACTCCTTTTTTTACAATATTTCTATTTGAATATCTATTCTATTTGAATATCTATTTATTTTTATGGATAATATATACTAATAGAGTCGAACAACTTGGTTTAGCTAATCCAGCTGGATTAACTAATCGTCAAATGAGCGATTCATATATTTTTGTAAAATTAATGGTTAAAACACAATTGTTGCCTGGAATTTCTTAAAAAATCGGCAAGTCGTAAAATTATAGTTCAAGTAAGTAAGTTCTTAATAATTTTAGCGCCCCGATCACATAACTCAACTTGATATCTCATACCTACCATGCTACGATCGCTTCGAAAATATTAAAGGATGTTTTTGGGAATATCTCAACCAATATAATTGAAACTTTTTACTTTTCTTAAACACTAAATTTTCAAGTATTACAAACTGTATTCTTATATTGCTTTTGTTCTTCTCATTCATTGCTTTTTTTGTAAAATGTACTTTGTAAAAAAAAATCCGTAAAAGGAATGATCAGAATGGAAGATAATTTCTCCTCAAGATTGTGAATTAAAAGGCTTCTGGAATAAAAATTGTGTGCAAACTCTTGATACAAAATATATTTTGAAGCGCATGCTGAAATACTTCAAATACCAACGGTTGACTTTTTAACTACTACTATTAATCATTTATATTTACACTTTTACACAAATTAATAAGTTATGTTCATTTATCGGTGCATAAAATCTATTCGCTTAGAAGGATTACATAATCAAAGATCTGTAATTCGTGAGGCTTTGGTTACTAAAATGCTAAACTGCAATAAAACAAAAAATTATGTAAAAAACTGCACCTGCTTGAAAATTTTAGTGCCGCTAGTAGATGTTTTGGAGCGATAAAAATATATTAGCAATCAATCTACGCTTAAATGCTCAATGCAATTAAATACTTCCAAATGATCAAAAATAGTATTGAAATTACCGAATGATCTTTATATCATAATATTTCCCCGTTTTTTAAATCTTCTTATCCATTTGTTTTTTAATTGAAGTTGCTGCTTGTTTTATTTTTTCAATTTTATAATATAATATAAAAGTTTCTATGCAAATCACATTATTAAATTTATGAAATTAATAAGAAAAAAGTAAAAATCCACGAATTACATTCCATAATTTATTATATTATTATCTGTTATATTATACTGCAGTGATAATTTAATTTGTTTTTATTTGTTTTTATTTTTAAAATTCTAATAATTCATTTTATTTCACACATTTTTTTTGCATGAGCACTCATCATATTTGAATTAAAATTGGCAGTTTCTTACAATTAATCTATTAATAATGGGATAGATTAAATATATTAAATTAATATAAATGAACATCTTTTAATTTTTAATTATCTTATCCATTAGATTAATTATTTCTGCGCGTATGAATTATTCTTGGAATATTCCTGGCTGAGATAATATAATCAAGTCGATTTATTTTTATTATTAAGTAATATGGTAATCTTCAATAGATTAATTTTTCTAAAAAATTATTTTCTTTCGGAAAATTGAAAGCATAAATAAAAATACTAAAAGAACCTCAAGTGATAATAAATAACGTAAATTCTTCCGTCATATGTCTTCTTAATAGTTATTTCTCTATTAATTAATGCAAGTATCCTGAAAAATAATGGAAATATGAATTTTTTGTAAAAAATATCTTTGAAGGTGTGGGAATCAAAAAGGCTGGTGAAATTACCATAATGCACTTCTCATTCTTCCTTCTTCCTTCCTTTATCCTGATGCTTAATTAAATCAATAAAAAAGATCATCATCACTATCATTATTTTCTGCTCCATTATTTTACGCATCAATTAATCTTAATTCGGTCAATTCATTTGAAAAATCGTTAATTCCTTTAGTTTTGAGTATGTTAATGCATTTTAGGAAAAGGCGAAAGTATATTTTCGAATAAAATGATATTCCATTCTTCCATTATATTTTCCTGGAATACATACATACATATGATAGAATTTAATGGAATTGTCTTATCAAAAAAATTTCTTGAAAAAAATTTCTTCAAGAAGAATTAAACAATATTTGCCGAAAAGTTTGAATTACATTTCCAAGACAATCCATACTTTTTATTCTGTCAAACAAAATTCAAAATTTCAGTTAAAATATGATTGTGAAACTTTGAAAGCGCAATAGGTGAAAAGAAATATTGCTAAATATGGTTTCTATGGTTTCTACTGTAGCAATGACAATTTATGTAGCATAAAACTAGCCGTTTCCAACTTTTATAAAAGTGCCTTCGGTAATATGCCCAAGTATAACGAAAAACATTGAAATAATGATAATTTATGAAAATTTATGAATTAAATCTTGCCTGAGTTTCTCTTCCCTCTTGCCTGAGTTTTCGAATTTAGCGAGATATAATAAATAATTGATAAAATAATTGGTAAATAATTGATAAAATACCCTGTAACTTCTGTAGATAACTTCGATCAGTAAATATCCGCAAATTTGGATTCCAATATTTTATCGATTAATGCCAAATCGAATGGCCGCAGGCAAAAAAAACCATTAGTAATTTGACAAAAATTAAATTAAACAAATCAAAGGAGCAATTAAAATAAATTGTTAGTTAAAAGCATTCTTGTCATCGTAATTTTACTCCATTATGGCTTGGTTTTTTCAATTTGAAATTTTTAAAATTCGTTCAAAAGCATTAATAATCCTGTGCTTAAAAAGTTGCTTACTTTCATAGAATGTTGCACTATTCATAAGAATGATCAGCAAATTAAAATTGAGTACTTTTTCAATAATTTCCTAATCGAATGATTAATTAATGGTTTGAAGCGAGAAATAATTCCGCATCATCGATGCAGCCTTTTTTATATATAAACAGTTCATATTGCTAATGAAGGAAAAAAGTATAATGAATTTCATATCTTATGTTGTTAAGAAAATATGCTTGTTTACTGTAGATTAATGCATTCGTCTATTTATATTTCTAAGACAATAAAGCCCATATATGGAAAACTTCATTGAGTTTCTTTTGCATTAGCACGACGTGCAAGAGGAATAAACCCTGCAAATTTTATAATTTTTATTAAAGCAACACGAATTTTGGTAATTCGCGATTTTGGCCAATTGTGCTAAATGTCGTTCGTTTTATAAATATGGATGCATTTATTTATTTATTCTAAATTGATATGTCATTATCTAATTAAATCTAATTCGCGACTTTTTTCTGCTGCCAAATAATATGTAAAGCGATATGCTGTAATCAGAACGATTTATTGTCGCCAATCCCTTATTGGAATGTGCAAAATCTTTCTACCCAACTTTCAGTTTATTTTTCACTGTTCTACAATTAACAATTCTTTTTACAATAATGATTTATCTTTAATTAATACGTGATTGGTGTTCCTGAGAAAATTAACGGATCATTGAAGGTAGAACCGTAAAGTGAATTTTTTTTGTCAAAGTTTTGCTTGATTCAGAATAGCTAATAAAACCAGAAATGATCAATTAGAAGGTTAGCTCGTTTCTCCTATAAATAATGTGATGCTTAAAGATCACCGCAATTTTTTTAAAAAAATTCTAATATCTACGATTTTGTTTTCATTAGCTTTAGCAAAGCTAAATTGATACTTTCTTATGAAAATCAATGATAGAATTAAAAGGATACAATAATTTTTGCTGACATTTGGTGACACTAAGAATTGTATCGGCTAGACTCTTTAGTCAATATCCGTCTCTCGTTGGGAGCATATCTATCAATGAAAATGAAGCCGAGCATTTTCAGAAACATCTACAATTTTGTGTTAAGAAATTTGCTAGCGAATAAATGCCTCAGACTAGTAGTGAAAATGGAGAGGATTATAAGAGAATTAATTCTACCGAATCTGCCCAAAGTTTATCACTAATTTTAAAAAGTGTATATATCACTATAAGCGAGAAAATTTTAGAAAATTTTAGTCAATAAGCGATATGATTATAATAGAAATTTTCAGCTAATTTATTTCTCATTATATTTTTTAATATTTCTAAAATATTGATTATTTATAAAATGAGAAGACAGTTTCCAAATGCTTAAAAAATATGGATAATTTATCTATCGAAATATCTAAATTTATAAGAACGAATTGAATTGCTCAGACACACCTACTAAAATTTTCTCAACTCCACCCATCAAAAATTATTTTTATACGAGAAATTTTCATTTATTTTTTGCTATTATTTTTATTGCTATTTGTGATTAATTCATTTTTATTACCCTAAATTTCTGAATTTAATTAATAAAGTCGTTTAATTAATAAAGTCGGTTTTGTAAAAGTTTTTGAAAAGTTTTTAAAGATGAAAATATTTAAGAAAATGAAAATTATTAACGTTCATTAACAAATTCGTTTGAAATATATTTTAGTATATTTCAATGCCTCATTTACAACTGTAGAGTAAATTACAAAATTACAAATACAAAATATAAATTTTTACATAGGAATTTGGTGAAAATTGTGGGTAGAATTGATAATATTTAATATTAGAAAATTAATTGGAAAGGCTGATGATTGATTCAATTTCCATGTAAGAATTTTAACGAGTCATATCGAGTTTTGTTTGAAGAAATCAAACTAGCGATTAAAAAAATTAGAAACCAAATTAAATTTAATGGGAATTATAGATTTGACATAGTTAAAGCAATGATAATCACGAGTATCGTTGAATGGTTATTTGCTGATATTTCTTATGAAGATCCTAATAAACCATTGATACTTTAATTTAATTATCTCTGGGTAATTTTAGCCGATGATTAGTTAAGTCTCGACTTTACATTATACGTGGAAATGATAATCATAAAAGAGTGAATTTTCATGAGATTTCGAAACTTATGGAGCAATATATCTTCTGATATAAATTCAAAATTCGCTTAGAAAAACCATTTAATCGAATAAATTGGCATCGATTAGTAGTGAAAACAGTAATAAAAATTAGAAACAAACGAAACAAACCTTTGTTAAATTTTTATAAACATTATCTGCTAAAATAAAAACTATTTCAGAAAAATGTCGAAAGATTTGGAAGATTTGAAAGATTTAAACGAAATGAATTCCAACAATGAAGAAGTTAATGACAAAAATTTTGATTTTTTCAGTAAAAAAAGTTCGTTTTAATATTTTCTTCCATCTGAAATATAAATTTGTACATGAAAAGTACTTTTACAGCTCTTAAATTCGCTGATCTAATCTAATGATATGAAATCGCTTTCATTTTAAATTAAATTAAATCTTATCAAAATTTCAGAGGATGCACCAAATTCAGCAAAAAATTCAAAATTTTCAATTCGTGATATCCTGAACAGTGAGAATTCTTCGAATCAAACTGATATGTTAGTATTTAAAAAAATTTTTTCTTGGCAAATTTTATCGTATTTTTTAAAAATTCCTCACAAAAATTAATTTCTTAGAATGCACATGTCAAATTATTCAAACATATTTTCATTTTTTTTCGCATTTTTTTTTAAATTTTCAACGAAATTTAAAACTTTCTATTTCAAAATGAGCCTTAAAAATTTTAAAAATCCAAATTTTCTCAAAATTCTAAAATAAAATTTCAAATCAATTTCTGAATAAACAAAATAATCATCATCATTAATGAATTTCATTAAAGCATACTTTTCCTTCATTAATTTTTTTCAAACAAATTGTTTCTTTTAATTCACTGACCTTTATGTGATATTTGATTAGTCATCACTTCATCGTTTTATCCTCAAATCCACGGTTAATTTTTTTCATTAAACTTTTAAAAATTTTGATTTGAAAACTTTTATTTTCAAATTCCACCGAAACTGCATAGCTATTATGTTGTGAATTTCAATGTCATTTAAATTCGTGCCAAAAATTTTTAATTTCTTGAAAAAAACCACTCATTGCTTCAAATTTTTACTCAATATTTTTTTTCGAATTACTCATATTTATTGCAGAAAAATTTAGTGCGGTTTCGCTTTAAATTACACTTTTTACTGAAATATTTATTGAAGACCTTTGCTTTTAATAAGTTTGGCAAATTTAATTCTCCTGCAGTTTACCAAATCTAACTTTTAACGATTTTAAGTTACCTTAAAAGATGATTCGCGCGATTCTTGATTTCTTCAGGAAAAAGAGGGAAATTATCTGTCTTCACATAATAAAAATGTCACCTGTAAATGTTTCTTTCTAATAGAAATCACTATTACTCTATTACTCGTTAATGCTAGAATAATACGTTTTATTTCTTTTTTCAAGTGCCGAATTTCTTTTTTGTTTCTTTTTTGTTTAGTAATTTAAATCATTTCAAAAATGGAGGCAAATCAGTTAGGTTAGGAAATTAGGAAAGTACATAGATAAATCTTTGACTACTGATATAAACGAAAATCCGTATTTAATTTTTGATTTTTTTCAAATTTTGACGTTAATAGTTTAGTTTACTATTTCAAATAATTAGTTTTCCTATAATCACCACAACTTTATTAGCAAAATTTTTCTTTTGTCTTATATATCGGCAAATTTTTGGCTACGTAGAATATATTGGTAACACTATATTGATTATCATGAATATTGCAAAAAAACTGTATTACAAACCGAATATAATAGATATAATAGAACAAAATATTTTTGCAGATATAGTAGTATAATTTGATAGCTTCCAAATCTAACTGAATTTTGAAAAATTCCTTCTTCCGTTTTTTTTTGCTTTCCTTTTACAAAATTTTTTTGAATCTTTGAAAACTTAAAAGAAAATCACATTTATCCAAATAATATGCTTTTTGAAATATTTAATGAATGAGCTACATGGCGATCTATTTCAATTTATTAAGAAATGCAATAAATTTTTATCAGTTTTTTGAAAGATAAAAGCTCATTTATAATAAAAATATTTGATAAATATTGTAATTGCTATAGTTTGTTTCTCTTTTTTTCCGATGAAATATATTAATTAAAAATACTATAAGAAATTCACGGTGCCAAATATAAAACTTATTTCTTCTGATAATACCATCATCATAATGATAAGATCAATGAAATTTTTAGAAAAGTGCCTCATCGAAGTAATCAGCCAATAGTACACCATCGTAATCTCATTTTACCGCCTTTTGTTGATATGTTACATAATGGTTAGGCATTGAATTTCATTCGACTAAAATTATATTTTTATAACGCTTTCATCAATTCATATTTGTGATTTCTCACCAATTTTTTTATCATTCATCATTTGCTGAATTGTATTTCCACAGATCTACTATCAAATGTGTAATTTTTAGAGTTTTCATGGCACCCGCTATGGCTATCAACGAATTATTCCATATCAGCAGCACAACGAAATCGCAATCCATTAATAAATACTGCGAAACAAGCAGACCTCGTGAATTTATTCGGCTAGTTATATTCTTCTTTATTATCATCTCTCTTGCGAAGAGCTCTGTAATTTCGATAATCAAATGTTCAATTTTTTTAGATTCTCAAAAATTCAAGATATAAATTTAAAAGCTAAAAAATTAAGTTTCTTTTTTAATAGAGAATTGTAAAAATTAAAATCGATTGCGAGTAGGATTCGACTGCAATTTGATATAATTATATATTCGACAAATTCATTTTTATTAATCTTTTCTCATAATCTACAATTATTTAATATTTAAAATAACGACGGCGAATAGCTAAGATTAAAATCCATTATCTATGTGTGATAATTTATATTCTCAAATATCCCTTCGCCAATAATCCCATTAAATCTTTCTATTCAATAAAATTTTTTCCTTTACAAATAATGATAGAAAAAAACTGATCTAATCAATTTAATCAATTAGTTAATTAGTCGCAATTAGCGGACGATGACGTTCGCTAATCAATAACAAATTAATATTTTTACATTAATTCAAACAAGGAAAATAAGTAATAATAAAAGAGAGGATTTATGACGTTGAAAGATGGAAAAGGAAAAGGAGAATTTAACGAGTTCAGCACGTCATTAAGTAAGCAAAAAACTTTTTCGATACCAATTTCTCAATTCCCTGCATTTGCTATCGAATTTCTTTAAGGAATATTGTAGAAAATCTTTTGAATATAATTTAATAATTACTATTAATTATGATGAGAAGATTGTCTTTTGATTATACCGATGCGTTTCTTTATTCGATTTATTAAAGAAACAACGAAAACAAAGGAAATTAAGAAAATTTGTCTACAGGAATGCTAATTGTCGGTAGCCATCAAAGATTTGTTATGACGCTATTTTAGATTTTATCGCATTAATTATATCAAAACATTTACTAAAATTGCTTATAATTCCCTAAACTAACTTCTACGTACGTATTTTTCTAAAATGAATTTTTAAAATAATTTTAATATGAATTATTCAATTATTTTTTTTGAAAAATTTCTTTAAACGTAAGTTTGCTTTTTAAAATTAATTTTTTTTGAAATTTGCACAAGTGAACATAATTGAAATAAATTAATAAATTTAATATTTTTAATAACATTTTTTAGTAATATTTAATAATATTTAAATGTTTAATGATATTTTTAAAAATTGCATCGTATTTTAGAATGAAATAAATAATTGCAAGGCCAAAGATATTATTATTAAAGTAATGAAAATTTTAAAAATAATTTAAAATTTTTTATTGAATTTTTTAAATTTGGAATATAGTCTAAATAAATAAAATGATTTTTGCATTTAATTGAAAAAGTCACAAATGTGATGCATAATAAATCATGTAATTGGCATGATTAATTAATGAGTAATTTGTCTCAAATTGCGCTTATTCGGTAGGAATATTGAAAAGAATTCAAGCATAGAATTACGTACGGTAATCTTATAATTACCACCATAATATAATACTGTAATTTATACTTTTCGTTGTTTCTCTTATTTACTTAGCATTTCATGAGAAAAACTCATCGAAGAATTTGGAAAGCGATAAGTTCAATGCTGAAAAAAAGCAAATTTGATTTTTAATTATTTTTTATTGAATAATTTTATTAAATAATTTTTTAAATTTTTTATCATGAAATAAGACAACTTTAAAAGAATAGAACTGAAAAAATGATAATTAAATGACAATTTAATGGTAACTAAAATTTTACTTCGCAACACCTTTATTTGATATTAATAAATAATATATATTAATAAATAATATAAGTTTGCTTCTTACTTTTAATTTGAATTTGTTCGAAAGGTTATTAAAATTTTCTTTATATATAACGATTTTACAATTAATTGCAAATTAATGATGAATTAGAGTTGGCGATCTTAATGGACATATGTAAGCGCTAACTTTAAATAAATATTCCTGATTTATTACAATTTATCCAGTTTTACATTGCTATCTATGTTTCACATCATTATTGCTGATGCTAATAATATGAAAGAATACTTTCATATTATTTTAAATTATTTTCTCAGCTGATTTCTTGAACTAATCACCTCGTTACTTAATATAATTTAGATTTTACATAAATACATTGTTTTACATATTTCTTGTTTTTCAATGTATTCTAAAAATAAATATACCATTTTATAAATCGTTGTTATATAAATATATCGATTTGCATACAAATATAAATTTTAAATTTTATTTTTTCAATAATATTTGCATACTATTCATCAATAGATACCTTTTAAGAGTACCCATCATTTCTGGTTTTTAGTGGCTTTTAGTAATGGATTGAATAAAAAAGTGAAGTTGAGTTCTGAGCCAGGTATATATTCTTTCCTATTTCACCTTTAACTACGAATTCCTTGCCACTAATGATTGCATAAATTTGCAAATTTCGAATATTTTAAATCATTGGCATATTTGTCGGTCTTTTTTATTCCTATTATCGTACCAGCATTTTTATCAAAACTATCATAGAATTTTTGGTTTTATTATCATAGCAATTTATTAGACAGGTGTTAATTTACAAAAAAGAATAATGCAAATGAGGGATAATATTAATCCATCAATTATATACTTGTTGAAATGATTTTCTTCATAAAAACCTTTCTATTCTAATTATTTCTATAATTTATTCATTTCATTAGAAGAAGTTATTTTTCATCATTTTCATGGAAAATATATCATTGTTAAGGTTGATTTATTTTGAAAAAATTAGGTAATAATTAAATGAATGTCGCACTTCTATGCTTTTTCTATTTTATGATATATTTTGCAAAATATTTTCTTGAGAAATATATTTAAAATATATTTAAAATATATAAAATATATTAAAATATATTTTACACATTTCTTTTGCGTGTTCGAAGGTTTCAGCAATCTGTTTAGGAACAATGAAAGAGAGAAAAATATAATTATAATTAATTATAACTATAATTAGAAATATGTCTTAACTAACCTTCTTTTATGGCAGAAAAAAGAAATGCCAATATATAAAATAAAGTTTTTACTGTTTTTCTCTCTTTTGGTACTTCGAAATTTGGGGCTTTGATCAATCGAGGTTTTATTTATTCGGCACTTTAATTTTCAGGCTTTTGTTATAGGCCATTTTTCCTTATTTTTCATGCTTTTTGGACACTTTTATTTTTCTGTCTTTTGTATTTCCTCAACTAATTTTATATTTCTGTTTCTATCTTTATGCAAACATGAAGAGTGGAAAGCGATGGGTTAATTCATCCAAACAATTTGCAAAATTTAGTCTATTATCCATAAAAAGACTTGGCATATTTCACCATATAATTGAAAATTGAAAAAATTCTCACCATCATATTTCACTATTTTCAGTTATTATAGAATATTTCATTTATTGCATTCAGGCTGATTAATGTTCATTGTGGCTTAAATATATTATCGATTCGAAAAAATTGGTGCTAACCTAAATTTTTATGAAGACGGATGTGCGGATAAATCAGTTGTTTCTTGTACTTTAGGCCGTATTAGGATAAATCAAACGTATAAAAAACAGATGAAATTCGTAATAAATTGTGTATATAGTCTTTATGTTAAAGCAAATTTTAACACACTTATTTTTAAACTACCATATTTTAAAATTTTGAGAATGAAATTATAAAATTTGCTCACAGTTATTACCGTAGGTGATATGTGTTTGTGCAATGGTTCTAGCGAATTCTACGCTTAATCATTACCATAATTGTATCGATTATTTTGTACAAATATTGACTCGGTTTATGGATGAATACGGATAACGCAAGAGACGTCTCCTTCATTTAATATAATCGCTCAAAATATTTAATATCATTGACGGACAAATTTACACAAATATACCAATCATTCTTCGTCTTCTTCCAATAACATTCACCATTTCTGACCGGATTCACTGGTTATTGGGATGAGACTCCTATGCCATAAATTTATATAATAAATTAATAGAAGGGCTCTTAAGACCACTCTTATTACCCTTTAATAGCAGAATTTTCATAATTTAATGTACAAGAGTCAAGTTCGCAATGCCACCACATCCTTAGTCGTAACAGCAAACTATTCGGTCAATCTGCTCTTTTTGCAATTCATTACCCAATTAACTTTAACATTAACTTAACACTAACATTTATTGACATTAACTTTTTTTTAGTTTTTATTTCATTTTTCTGATCTTCTCAATTAAATATTATTTAAATTGATTCTGCATTAATTGATTAAGCTTTTAAAAAATCTTCTTTCCACTTCATTGGGTTTTTATTTTTTATTTTTAAGAAAAAAGAAAATTGCAAATAAATAGAATTTTGGTTGGATGTTCTTAATAATAGTAAGAAGGCTTTAATCATTAATTTTATTGGAATTTATTGAAATAATTAAATAATGATAATGATATGAAATAATAATTATATAGAAAAATGGTTATATAATATATTGAAATATGATATATTTAGCGGTCGATTTAATTGCTTGAAAAAAAATGGAATAAAATATTGTGGATTAAAATAAAATATTATCGAAAATGATCATGAATAATGCTGGAATCAAAATAAATAAAAAAAGCATTTTAGATAACGAATACCCTGATAATAATATATTATCACCACCGAACGAATTGTTTCAACTCGTTTCTGCTTATTCACAAAAACGATATGAAAGTGCCTCGTCATCTCAACAACCGAATTTAGCTGCAGTTGAACGAAGGAAATATTCGTCGCCCACTGAAAAAACAATAAATTTAAACAATGTTCATTTCATTCATTTTAGATTTATAGATTTTAGATTTATAAATACTAAAATACTGTACTTATAAAGTACTTTCTATAGTTTTTCTTGAATTTTTTAATTTTTCTATAACTTAGCAAATAGTTTTCCAATTATCAATCAGAATTGATGCAGCTTTTTAAATTGTATCATAGAAGAGAAAAATGAACAGTTCTTTACACAAAAAGTTGCAGATGAAAATGGAAATATAATTTAAATGAATGAAGCTTTTGATTTGTACATTAAATTTGTACATTGCACAGTTTTGTCTTCTTATCAAAGTTTCTTTTAAGAGCTCTCATCATTATAGGTTAGACTCACTCCGCTGGTTTTTCGCACTAAACAAATATGCCAGGGAGTTATTTGGCGATAGAAACATACGGTTGAGTCGCTAGCAGCATGCGGGGAATAGAACGTCAGCATCAGAGCTCCGAATTGAGCAACAACCCACTGAGCTATTCTAGTTTCCAACGCCACAGTTTTCTGCCTTCATAGTTTATTTCTTTTGCTTATGAAAATAAGATTAAATAAAAATTTTTTAGCCGGAAAATCAAAAAGATCAACAAAAATGCAATGAAACGAAAAATAAGGAATCAGCTGGGATGTCAAATGAAAGTGATTGTGATGATGATGGAGATGTTCGAAGTAGTGACGACGATCTTGCAAATAGTATTTCTAATGAATCGTCATTGCATAGGAAAAAAAAGACTCGTACAGTTTTTAGTAGGCAGCAAGTGTCACAATTAGAAATGACATTTGATATGAAGCGTTATTTGTCTAGCCAAGAACGCTCACACCTCGCTGCAACACTTCGTTTAACTGAAACACAGGTATTTTTATCATTTCTTCAATCTGTTGCACTGAGCGCGAAGAAAGAAAAGGTAGCTTCGTTATCTGTCAAATATAACTTAAAAATGACCATTACAGGTAAAAATTTGGTTTCAAAATCGAAGAAATAAATGGAAACGTCAAGCATCAAGTGATAATGATAGTCCGATAAATATTCATAGAAATAATATTTTCTCTGCACATTTGCAGCAACTGACACATCCAACAGATCGAATGTCTGGCACTCGATCGTTGTCCTCAGGGTAATTTCATCTTATACATCCTTTAAAATTTTAAAATTACCATTATATCCAAGGTGTCCTGAGGACTTTTTTGCACTTCAAAACATTGAAATAATTTCTTTAATTTGCCAGTATTTCAGTCTACCAGTTGCACCACATCCAAGTCTTCCTGGACCAGTTATGCATCCAGCAGTTTTGTTTCACTCAGCGTCGTCTGGATCATCAACATCACCTAGGCCAATTTTGAACTTCACCAGTACAGAAAACGCTGCAGCAGCCGCTAAATTTCTTTATGATACGTATGGTGCCATTGCTGCACATGTGCAAATGATATAGATATTTCGTTCATTGATGGCTTTGTTACATTTTTTGAAATTTTTTTTCCAAGGTGCAATTCGAAAAACAAGATTTTCTGGTGATTTTGCCTAAATTAATGTTCGCAATCTTTTGATTTCTTGAGATTGAAGCCCCGTGAAATTTTAGCGCTATAGTAAGGTGAATTGCCGACTTTCGACCGATGATATACAATAAAGGAAGATAAGGTGTGAAATATTCCTATTTTTGTATTTGCTACATTTTGTGCATATGCTAAATTTCGTTTGGCTTTATTTTAAACGGGTATTTTTATTATTAAAATAATTAAATATTTCTGTGTATTAAATGCTGCTCTTATTATAACTTTACTGTCAGAATCATTATGTAATCATTCATTTTAATTCATATATTTCAAATTTTTATTTGGCAAAGTATGGGAAAAATTATGAGAAAGCGGGAAAAAATTTTGATGAAATGTATTAAAATAATATTTGTAAAGGATTCTTGCAGGGAGTCTTAATAACGGTATTATCATTATTACTAAGGATAAAATTGTTTCATCATTTTCTTAACCAAGGAAACTATTATTTTAAAATAAACTAATATCAAAAAAAATTTGGGTAAAATAAACTAGTTAAAATTTTTTTAAAATGGATATTATAACGATTGCCTCTCCAACAGGTTTGCAATTTTTTGCAAAGCGAATTGCTGGATGCATTATTTTCAAAAAAAAAGAAATTTTACTCAAATTTTCAAGTCAGAATTGTTTTTTTCGATGGAAATTTATTGAAAAATCATGTGATAGAAAAAAATAAAATTATGTGGTAGAGAATGAAAGTTTCTTGAACAAAAGGAAAAGCTTTTCGAAATCAAGTTTAATAAAAAAGCGATGTTCACATCCTACTCAAAAGATATAAAAAACTGGATTTTTTAGCGAGAAGAAATCAAATCAATTTAATTTAATTAATTGTGCGCTATATATATTTTGGTTTCATCACTGATAACCATCAGATCACTGATTCATTGGTTTTAGATTCGTCATCCGCCAAATTACTTCGTCATTATTAATTTAAATCTTTATGTTTTCAATAAGATTTTTGCACGGTTTTCTGGCTTAAAGAATTAATTACTGTAATGCAAATTCATTTAACTACCAAATTTCTAAAGTTCTAATTGCATTATAATTTTACCTTGTTGTTCAGCAGCTATTTTTCAGCTTACATAATTAAAATTCACATACGGATTTCCTTTCTGAAACTTTCCTGATGATTTCATACCTAAACTTTCATCATTTAGTTAGTTTAAATTCCTAGCTTATGCCAAATTTCCTCGATCCATAGAAAATTTTGAAAATTTTGAAAGCAAATAAATTTTGACGTTTTGCATTTATATATATCTGACTGCTGAAAATTTTTCATATATTCATTTTCCTGAAATATTATTCTCCCGAAAAGAAATCTGATAAATCGCGAAGTAAAATTTTTGACATTTAAGGGAAACAATCAATGTGGGTATTTTAAAAGTAAGTAAGTTTTTGTAAGATGGCTTATTTTTATTATTTTACCAATTTATTTGTTGCTCCAGCATGTCATACTTTTTTCCTTAATATTCCATGATTCACTGGTTTTATGGATAAAAATTATTTGTCAATGATGCAATGTAAGTAAATTCTTGTGAAATTTCAAAACGTTTTCATGAAATAATTTATAATATATTCTAATAATATATTCTATATATTCCATTCAATATTTCATTTTGAATATTCAATGTTTTCTATCGATGGGAATGTATTTCATATTATTTATTATTCAATGTTTGCTTTCCACTTTATATTATACTATAATAAACTTTAGTGATAATAATAATAATAATAATAGACATTTGCATTATTTAATAATTCTATACTTTCACCCATTAAAATCAAATTTGAATCAAATTTTTTAAAAATTTTATGTTATTGTCGACGTTTGAAAATCAGACATATTGTTTTTTCATTGCTATATTTTTAAAATATATTATTACTTCATTATTTATTTATTATTTCAGATATATTTATTAAATATGTTTATTACTTCATATTACTTCATTAAATTCGATAGTATGGAACTAATCATGTCTTTTCTTTATTGTTTGATTATATAAATTAAAAAAATTAAATGAAAAAATTCATTTGTAAAAACAAACTTCTTCTATGCATCGATTATTTTTCAAATTTTATATATTATTATCTATTAAGACGTTTCCTTCTTTATGCAATGTTTGTTGAATCTATATGAACCATTTAGTTAAAATCCAACGAGATGAAAGGTGAATCAATGGATGAAATATTAAAATGTGAAAATTCTCTTGAAGAATTATGGATGAAATTATTAGGAAAATATTCACGTTTTATTGCAAGGTGTATATGGAAAAATGTTTTGTTTTAATTCTCATTTTAAATATCTTTGTGGCTCACAAAAAATTTTTGCATAATTAATTCATAACAGCAAGTTGTCAAAAAATTGAATATTTCCAATTGGTCTCACCAAATTAGTTTGAATAAAATAAAAATGGCTGAAATTTTGGCATTATAATGAAGAATTTTCAGGAACCCATGGCCTTTCATCGTTGCTCCGTGTATATTTACAGCAATATTATCAACGGGAATAATATATAAATTTGAGATTATCCGAGGAATCGATTATTTATATTCTCCTATTAATGCGAAGTGGAAAGCAGAAGAAAGAGTGTTCTATGAAAATTGGGCATCATCTGATCGACTGTTTTATCCTGGTTGAGTTGAATTTTTTTCAAAAACTGAAGAAAAGAACAAGAAGTAATAAGTTTTTATTCCTAATGGCTGATAAGTTCATAACTTTTGCTTGAAATTGGTGAATTTAGTTAACAACTTACAGGTAAAGATGTTCTAAGGCGGAAAAGTTTGTATTTGATAATCGAATCAAAGGATCAAGAGAATGTATTGAGGCCATCGATAGCAAATGATTTTATAAATTTATTGGATTGGATAGTCGACGTGAAAATAATTTCAACTGATGGCACTGAATATACCTATCGAGATATATGTTTGAGATTTCAAAATGATTGTTTTATGAATGCTCATGCAAGATTGATTGCTGACATTTACAGAAAAGGAGATCAAGTATATATACAATTTGCAAATTTTGTAAAATTAATAAATTAATAAAAATCGAAAATCCAACTGAGTCAAATATTTCCAGAGTAGATTTAATATAACTTATCCAATATTTCAATCGAAATATCGAACAGAGCCGATTGACTTATCAAAAACGCTTGGAAATATTAAAGTTAATTCAAATGGCCATTTAATTAGTGCAACTGCATGGCTCATTCTTTATCAGTTTCAACAAGATAACAATGATACTAGAAAACTCAGCTCGTTAGTCATTTATATGTTTATTTTGCCTTATATTTCGAGAAAAAAAGAGAAAATTCTTAATTATGCTGCAAATTAGAAGGGCTAATTAACAGCAAATACATCATTATTGCAATTCAATTATATAAAGCATAGTGATGAAGGAAGAATCTGCAAATAAAGCGAGATGTATTGTTTCATTTGTACTGTAAATAAGTTCGTTATTGTTTCCGTATATTTATTATATGATCTGATTGAGTTTCATTCATTACATCGATATGCTTTAAGCAAATAAATTATATAATAATAATAGCAGAAGCTCTTAGTTATATTTCTTAGTTACAAATATAATTAAAGGGAATTTGAAATAAATATATGTGAAAAAATAAAAAATAATCAAATACCGACTTCCCTTTTAAATATTTATTATTTTCATTCCAATACTTTTGAAATGGAATTGAAGCAAAGTAATTTACGACTTCTTCCGAGGTATTTTCTTTTTTCTACAGTTATTTCTAATAATTGAGTGATAAAAAAATCTTAAATTATATTTAAAATCTTATCTTTCAATGGATCAGTTCCATAAAGAAAACATTGTGTAAAATAAAGTAAATCGCACCAAATTCCACATTTTACAAATATTGCATTAAATTGCATTGCAAATATTGCATTGCAACAAATAAGTGCTTCAAATTAGGTTTTAGCCTGGTAAAAATATTTCTACAAGTTCCAATTTTTCTACGGAAAATCACGGAAAAGTGACTGTAAATTAGTAAACAATGATTATTGAAGAGATTTAATTCATTTTGATGAGAGATTTCTTGCAATATAGAATAAGCAATGAAAATAATTTAAAAAGATATTTATTTTTGCATTTTCTCAATATTTTAATATTTAATATAATATTTTTAATATTTTCGAAGGTTTTTCTTTCCTTTCAATTTGCAATACCTTAAAAATTTTAAAAATTTTTAAAAATTATGGATTTCAGCTTCATTTTAACATTTATAATATTAGTAACATTTTCTATATTATCAACGTTTAACTTAAAATGTTTAACATTATTTGGTCAACCTGTAATAATAATCGACTGGATTTTATCGAAACCACTAATGGGTATCATTGGTGTTCTAACAACTCTTATGGCTATTATATCAGCTATAGGACTTTTATTATTAATGAATGTAACATTTGTCGATATGGCGACAGTAATGCCTTTTTTAAGCTTAAGTAAGAGTTTTTCAAAAAGTTTTTTGCATTTTAGCAAAAATTATTGGTCTATCAATTAATGTCGGCTGTTTATTTTATTACCGTAAAATGCAAATATTCAATATTTGCTCAAAAAAATTGAAACACAATAATGCAATACAACAGGTCGAAAAATATTTAGATCCAAATTATAATTGTTAATAAATTCAGCAATTGGTATTGATGATACTTTTTTAATATTGGCTGCATGGCATGAAACAAGTCGCACAATGTCTGTCTATGATCGAATTGAAAAATGCATGAAGCATGCAGCCGCATCTATAACCATTACATCGATTACTGACGCTATTGCTTTCTTGATTGGAGCCATCGCACCTTTGCCTGCTGTCAAGCTCTTTCTTTAATTTACAAAATTTTTTTTTAACTATCTGAATTTCAATTTAAAATAGTTGAGAACGAGAATTTCATTTGAATCATTGAGCGTATTACTGAGATAACAGAGTCGAAGATAAAACTCTATGTGCTCCGTATTTCAATTCCTCATCCAGAAATCTACCGAAGAAATCGCTTAAAACTTTGCTCGCTTAGAAATGGGTTATGAAACTTTTCTCCTTAGTAGCTTTCTCGTTTCGTAATTTTAAACATCGATTACCTAATTTACAAAATCGTAATTTTTTGTGGGAATATTTAGAAGAACTGCATTCGAAAATAATTTAGCGAATTATGATAATGATAAAAATTAAAAACTAAAAAACTTTTAGGTGATTTACTTTTGTTATTATTCATCGGTTGCAATTGTTTTTATTTTTCTTTATTCGATGACAATATTTATCGGATTTCTCTCGATTCAAGGACAATGGGAAGATGAAAATCGAAATAATCTTTTTTATTACGAAACTATAGATTTCGACAAAATCGGTAAATTTATTAATTTACTTTTCCATTATTTAATTTTTATTTACTGAAATAGAATCATTTCAAAGTGAAAAAAAATATGAAATAAGCATTACTACTATAACCATTGTATTTTATTAATATGGAACTTTTAAAATGGAGACACTTTATATTCCAAAATTATGCCTAATATGAATATTAAAAATTGCTTGTGGGCATGAGAAGTATTTTTTTAAATTCAATCATAAGATGAAATGAAAAGAAATTTCCACTTAATTCGGCTGACACTAGAAAAAAATGCATCTAAACCTATGAATTCAGAGAGTGCGAGCATTATTCAACGAATATTCAATATGGGAGGTAAAACCAAAAAAATTAGCGGAAAAAAATTGGAAATAGCGAAAGTTAGTTCAATTTTATCCCCATTAATATTTTCTGTTATGAATTAATTAATTAATTGCAGAGAAATTATCTCTTAAATTTTTAATGAAATATTAAACAAATATTAAATCTTTAAATAAATAGTTGCATAAACATTAAATTGAATATTAAGTTTGGTCAAAAAATTTGGTATCAGAAATTCTTCGAAGACATTTATTCGCCGACGATATCTTCGTTATCATTCCAGTTTATATCTCTAATAATATTCGTTATATATATTATTTTTGCTACTAATGGGATTGGAAGACTTCGTGTTGGCTTCGATGTAATTTTTCATTTTCTTATTTGTTTTTCCGAAATTTTAGTTCAATACCTTAATTTTTGGTTATTGTGGACCAACCTGTACCTTTATTTCTAAGCTTCCACCTGAATAGTGAGGAGCTAGGCAAACATGCTTATTTACAATTGATGCGCCTTAATAGAAGAGAAGATTTGTTTTATATTTCCAAAATTTCCACTGTGAAAAATTTACAAGCCGAAGTTTAAATGCAGTTTATTAATTTATTCCTTCAGCTGATAAGATCATCTTGACAAAAATGGTATCGGCGTGATTCAGCAGGCCTTACTGTTTTAGTTGCTAAGGAGATTATTTACTTGTTTATTTCTATCATTCATTTATATTAACATTTCTTTTCAGTTGATCGATGTTATACAAAAAGATTCACCGTCAAGACGATTTTTAGAAGTTCGATCAAAATTATTTGTGTCTGATATTAATAGTGTTGACATAGCTGTTATAAATGCACCTAACATGGCAATTAATCATGAGAGAATTAAATTTCTAAATATTGTGAACAAATTTTCTAAAGCTAATTGTACGCAACACGGTAATAATTCTATAGATTTTTGGTATTTTGGATATAAAGATTATATTGATCAACTCGGTTTTGCTGATTTTTGGACGTTTATAAATAATGACCCAGAGGTGAGTTTGCATTTAGGAAAACTTAGGACCAGAACCGAAAACCAATTTATTTGGTTTCAATTTTAAAAAATTTCTACTATAATTATGCTATTTATTTTAGTAGTCTTACTTTATATTTAATAGAACTCTTGGACTAAAATGAAAGCGGATTTGGGAAATGGCTCTCAGCTTTGATTCACCATTTTTTCTTGATTTTCATGATTTTTACAGGAATTTGATGGTAATCTCGAACCATTTTTAATGTCGAATGATAAATATAAATATGATATTTTATACAACAGTTCCACTAAAACTATACAGTCATTTCGTTTTAATATTCTACTGAAATCCGATATGAATGATAATGAAATTGTTAAATGTGCGAATGAATTAAGGTCTACTGCTTTAAGTCAAAAATTGCTTTTATCCAAATACTTTTTGGCAGATGACTTTAGTGATAATTCTGATATGATAATTGACATTGATAATCTTATTGCCATAATTGCCAAAAATATGCGTCAAAACCCATCTAAAAAGAAAAGAAAAAAGAGAAAGAAATTTATCTATGATCATAAACCAAGAGATTTTTTTACATTAGAATTGAACGAAATTATTGTAGGTCACTTGTGACGGTCAATGATAATGATTATAATATAACAACTTATACACCTTTGTGGGCGCTGGCTGATCAGTTAGAAGTTATTTGGCCACAAACATTACAGGATTTGTATATATCAATTAGTCTGTTATTGAATTAAGAATATTCAAAATAAAAGTGTATTGTCGAGATAAATATTTACCAAATAACATTTCACCAAATTTTTGCGGAGAAAAAGATGGAATGATGATTTATTAAAATTAAAATTAAGGCTTATGGATTCAAGTTCATCTTATTTATACGATAAAAATTTTGCATTTCAGTTGTAATGATGTTAATATCATTGGTATTAATTCGCAAGGCTATTTGCTCTTTAATAATTTCAATGAATATTATATCGATATCAGTTGGTATAATTGGTTATATGGCCTGGCTAAATATAAGATTAGATGCATCGTCGATGATAACTATCGCTATGTCGGTTGGATTTAGTGTTGATTTTGCAGCACACATCACATTTGCTTATATTAGTCAACACACTAATCAAATCAAGTGCTTTTTTCATTTTATCTGTTAAATTTTCTCATAAATACAGATATTTCAACTAATTAAAACAAAAAAACAGAAAAGGCTGATAAATGAATGAATTTGTTACATTCAGTACTAATCATAAATTCATCAAAAAGCTGATGAACTTATTCAGAAATAATTAAATTTCAAGTGCTCCATATGGAAGGCTAACTAAAACTCTTGGAACTGTTGGATGGCCGGTCATACAAGCTTCATTATCCGTCTTTCTTGGAATCCTACCATTAAGATTTGTTGACTCAGTTATTGTTCAAACATGCTTTAAAACGGTTGCACTTGTTATATGCTTAGGTAAATTATTTTTGCATATTTCGAAATTATTATAATTTCAACTTTATATTCAAAAGGGTCCCACCATAGCAAACAATGAAATCAGCCAAACCAAAAATGCTTGGGTGGAGGATAAATTTTCATACCATTTATTGTTTTCTTACAAATTCTTTGAAAAACAATTTTACAAATTTTTCGAAAGGTTTCGATTTGCTTTACGGAAAAAGGAAAGTAAAGAAGATAAATTTAGGGCGAAAAATAGCTTTTAAAGTAAATAATTTTCAGGTACACTTCATGCATTATTATTTTTACCATTATTTCTTATGAATTTACATTTGTTATGCATAAAGTTTTTCGGTGAAAAATGCCAAATTTTCTAAAAACAAATTATTGGCCTATTCCTAGTACAGATAAAGCGATTCGAATCTTTGTGGATCTCGATGGTGCCTAGCTTTTTTGCTGGACCAACTATTTTCGGTTTGGTTCAATCGTGTGTTGAATGTATGTATGTTGACAATATTCTAACTGACCGATAGCAGTTGGGTTTATAATCGATCAGTAAGATTGCCTTTAGTTATTCAATTGGCTACCACGAATTCAGAATATTACATACAAAATATTATCAAGTATTCGCTGTTAAATATTTGAAATATGAATTATAATTAAAATTGATGTTCCGCACATTTAAACCGAATAAATCGACTATAACACTGATCTTCCTATCGCACCTTTTGTCTACAATATTTATTTGCATCACGTATTACCAGAATTTCAAAGTGAATGTGAAAATGTAAAACACAGTTCCTCCAATGTTTTATTCTCAAGATGCGTTAATAAAAATAATTTGCAGAAATTTATGAGGTTTCCAAATCAGTATTTTACTCGTTCAAAAATCATAAATGTAAAATGCCGAAGATGAAGTTTTTATCGAAAAATTCTTGAAAAATTCTTCAATATGCATGACATACCATTTCATTTAAGACAACTAAAATTTTGGAACATAAATCCAGGCTTAAAACAAATTATTATGGATAATCTAACAAAAATTACAAAATATTGAGGCCTATTTTTCATTATATAAATTATAGTTAGACAAATTTTAAAAAAGTTGAAAAAAAGCATTACTGAAAAATTGATACTAACGCTATTTTTCTCACCTGGAAAAACTTTTGCACATAAAAACTAAATTCGACACTAAAACTTAGCAATGGTTCATCAGTTCAAAAAAATTTAATTTCAGATAATAAGCTGGCTAAATACCTAAATTAAAAACTGAGGGAATATCTATTGGTTTAACACAAAAAAAGTTAGCAAAGGCAATTGATTAATGAAGTTTCCCAGCAGCTTCCAGTTTTTTCTTAAGCGATTCGGGCATCTCCGGTGGTGGTGGTCGCGGCAATTTGAAGATCACTTTTACAGAATCGTAGATGAACCACTGAGCAGCAGTCAATGTCCCAATCATAATTATACGTGGAATAAGACCCTTCCACAAACCTGTGATATGAATTATCAATTGGAAATTTAAATTGGAGAAAATATAAAATTTTATAGGCCATCGTAAAAAAATTATTTCGCATTGAACTCAATTAGCACTTAAATGATTACCAATAAACCCAAGTTTCTTAGCGACTTGAGTAGCTGTGGAACCGGAATCTTGATTAAGTTTTGAAACGATTGTATCGGCTGGGTGCGAAACAATAGCACAAAAGACACCGGCAATGTAACCAGCCACAAAAGTAACTACAAGTTGTTCCGATTTACTACATTTCTCTCTTGGTTTCGGAACAACATATTTGTAAAGCAATTCAACAGTGCGTTCAAAGCAAGCGAATTTCATCATCGTATATGGAATTTGTCGCATCCAAAGTGGTGGAAGACCTTAAACAAAAGGTATAATAATGGAAATGATGAAAAAAATTTTTAACTTTTAATTTCTAAAAATATGAAAACCTTTATAAAACCCTTTGATTCCTTCAGTACGCCAAATCATTGGTGCGCACCCACGAAGTGTTGGAGGTGATCCAGGTGCTGTCTGAATTCGGACTTTAGTTGCCTCCATGGGAGCAAGCATAATATCTGCGAAAAATTCAGCAGAAGCTGAAGCCGCTAAGTAAAGAGATGTTCTCCATTGATAAGAAAGTTCCTAGAAATATTATTTAGAAAAAAGATAAAGAAAACCTTTAAAAAGAAATAAAATCCTTCGATTCCTTCAGTATATCAGGAAAAATTGCATGAATAAGGTATGAAATTCCAAAGAAACCAAGAATACAAGAGAAACAAGGAAACTGTACAAACTTCTCCAAGTAAATCCGAGTAAAAAATTTTGAACACTTCGTAAAAACCAAATTTTCCGAGACCTTGAAGAGAATATCCGAAAAAAGTTGGCGCCCATCCTTTCGCTAGAGCACGGAAACCTTCTTCTCCTATTGTTGTTTTGAAACCACTTGCGATACCACGATATTTTGTTGGATTTACCTACAAGTAAATAAATCATAAATTTTAAAAAAGCCATTTCCAATAAAAACTTCCAGCACACTAATTAATATCAAATATCAAAAATGGTGGAATTAAACATTGGAAAAATTTCTCAAAATATAAATAAATCAATTTCATATAAAAGAATTTACTTGTATACGACATTTGACTAAATCAAGTGGTACAATAGCAGTATGAGTAGTACCACACGATATCACTCCACCTAGACCACATAAACCGAAAAATTGCAATGAACCAAAGGGTACTTCACCAGGAGCCGCTAAAATTATATTTGTGCTGAAGTGGAATGGATCTTACAGCAACAAGTGAACGAAAACTTCTCTGATGAAGATAAGTAGCCAAAAATATAATGACTAAGTAAATAAAAAATTTCTGAGAATATTCAGAAATATTTCTGCTTTCTTTGCAAACTGATAATTGCAGGTGACACAGAACCGAACCTTAGAGGATTTATAAATCGATTTACAAATTTATTTAATTATAATTTATTCTTATTTATTAATTATCCACGTGCGTCTTTAATTTCAAACTTATTGGCCGATGAATCTCAAATCGTAAATCGAACCATTAAAATCTTAACCCAATAAAATTCAACAGTAAATATCAATCGCCAATGTGATGGCTAATATGCTTAGAATAAATTGTTTTCGAAGCGCCCGACAGTTAGGACTTCCCTATATTTGGATTCTTTTTGAACAGATAAATCGTTCCGGCACCACTGTAGCACCACCATTTATTTCTTGGATTCGTTTCGCACACTTATATATTCCTCGGTGGTGGTGACGACCTGTTCGGCAAGTGATCCCCATGGAAAAAATTCACCACCATGCTAATAAATGGAACCGAACTGGTGAGTGCTAAAAGCTTATGAAGCGAACAAGGAACTTTACAAACGATCTAAATTGATTTTTTAGTAGAAAGGAATTTTACGAAAGAAAACTAACACTGATAGTGCGCACAGTTCGCTTTACGAATTATTGACAGTCCGTCCGATTTTATTGCTATTTTTCGTTCATTTCGATTTAAATTCATCGTTTCCTTATAATTTTATCGCGTTTTTTCACTGAAATAAAAATTATAAATGAGAAGAAAAATTTTTAATCGAATAATTTTCACGGCGAATTTGCAATTAATTATTAAAAGTTTTTTCCAAATAAATAAATTTTTCGCTTAATAATTATTAATAATTACAAAATTTTTTGCAAAAACATAACCTTTGGTACGATTTTTTAACGAAAAATTTGCGACATAAAACGAATTTAATTTCGAAATTTATTGGATTCGCACAAAATTGTCTTTTCTTTTTTTGAATAAATTAAAAATAAACCAACCAATACAACTAAAAAATAACTGGAAAAATTCGAACCACAGAACATTCTTAAAGAAAGAAACGATAAAGAAATAAGAATGATGAGACAAAAATGCAAAAAAACGCAACTGCAGAAAATCCTATTGTTTCCTAATTTTATGCTGCTACAGGTGAAATAATGTTTAATTTTGTGCTGCTCCTCTCAGGTTTTGTGCTTCGATTTCGTTATCATTGATTGCTTATCAGAGCACTTATTTCGGTGATTCCTTGGCATTTCCGTTGCATTGGCTGGGATTTGTCCAAAAATCTCCAATGGCAATTCACCTCCCACCGAATTTTGAACTATTAAATATAAACATTTCATTCGTTATTAGATTTCATATTTCGTGATAATCGCTCTTTTTTTACACACAGCCAAAGCACTCAGTCGAAATATGCAAACCAAATAATTAAAAAATAATATTTATTAAACGAACAACAACCCATAATGCACATAAAACAAATAAGACTTATTTAAAAGAAAAAATGAACAAATAAAATCATTTGGTGAAGGACGAAGGCAACTGTGGCGGTGGCAATCGCGGCACTTTCAATACCACTTTCGCTGAATCGTAGATAAACCACTGTAAAGCCGTTAATGTACCAATCATCAAAATTCGAGGCAAAAGTCCTTTCCACAATCCTGAAATCAATATTTTCTAGCTAGAAAAGGTTTTGAAAAAGAAAAATCAACTTAAGCAGACCAAAAAAAGAAAATAATGAGGGGAATCGAAAAAAATTCACCAAAAAATCCGATAGTTTTAATAACTTCATAAACAGATGAACCATATGACTGATTAAGTTTCGAAACAACCGTATCTGCTGGATGTGAGACTATTGCACAAAAAATTCCGGCAATATAACCGGCCAGAAATGTCACAACAAGTTGTTCAGCTTCCGAGGTTGCCGAACGTGGTTTTGGCACGACGAATTTGTATAATAATTCAATTGTTCGTTCAAAACAAGCGAATTTCATCATTGTATATGGGATTTGTCGCATCCAAAGAGGCGGTAAACCTTTAAAGTAACCATTAAAAAGGAGCGAAAAAATTCGATATAGTGAGGTAGTGAAAGACAATAAAAACCTTTATAAAATCCAACGATGCTTTCCGATTTATAAATCATTGACAAACATTCAACAAAATCCGATGGTGCACCAGGATGAGTTTGCATTCGCACTTTGGTCGCTTCCATAGGTGCTAAAAGAATATCTGCAATAAATTCAGCTGATGCAGCTGCCGACAAGTACAACGCTGTTCTCCAATAATATGCCAATTCCTATAAAAATTAAATTAAAATCTTCAGTGCCTCACTTTTTCATATAAAAAATCAAATCAAAGATGTCTTAAAAATTTGCTTAAAACAAATGAATAAAAATATTGTATGCAAAATTTTGCAATTCATAAGACTAAAATACAATATAAAAAGGTAAATAAAAGTAAAGAACGCACCTCGCCGAGAACTTCGCTATACAATATTTTGAACAGTTCATAAAAGCCAAATTTGGCAAAACCTTGCAACGAGTAACCGAGCGCTGTTGGTAACCATCCTCTAGTGAACGAATGACATCCTTCTTCGTTATACGTTGTTAGCAATGCACCAATTATTCCATTAAATTTCTTCGCATCAACCTAATTTTTTAAATTAAAAAAGATTGCTTTTCAAAATTTAAAGAACCGTTAAAATTTAAAAATTTCCATTTTGCCGATTTAAATAATTAATCTACATGAATTCATCCTTAAAAATTATTTCAGACATTTTTTGCTAACAACTCGGTTCGGCAAAAAATTAAAATTGTTTAATTTTATTAGATATATAAATATATAAGTGCTCGACAAGTTGAATAATGACAGAAAAATTTTAAAATTTAACGAAATTAACGAAGTTCTAATTTTAAATTGAACCTGAAAATCATATTTTTAATCAAATTCTTGTTTATACTTGTAATATTAAAATTATTTTCGACACTTAAAGCTGTTAATTTATGAAAGGAAGATAGGCCTTTACAAATAAAATAAAAAATTTATGAAAAAAGCAACCTGTATACGACATTTGAGTAAATCTAATGGAACTATCGCTGTGTGCGTTACGGCACAAGAAAACATTCCAGCCATTCCACATAATAAATAATATTCTAATGAACCAAATTCAATTCCACTCGATTCTTCTGAAAAGTTCCAAGTTTTAACAAATTGTTTTTAAAAGTGAAAAACATTTTATAATTTGTAAAATGAAAAATTTATCAAAGAATAATGCAAAAAATACAAAAAAGGCAAAAAAGGAAAACCTCATAACCTAAAAACTTCAAAAAACTTTAAAGAGGTTGAGGGAATCTCAAAACGGACCTGCAAGAGAAATTTTCCGCAATGAAACCCTCGAAAAGAAATCGCCAAGGGATACTTTTCACGAAAAATCCCTAGGAAAAACTTCCTTCTCAGGGATATTTTAAAAGAAATGAAATGAGCGATATAGCGATACACTTGTTGGTACTTTATTAGAGCAAAGCCATCTTGTGTTCCTTACGGTTTCTTGAGGTCACCGAGTTTATTTATAGCACTGGGTCGACCCGCATTTCTCTATTCAGTGTACTATCCAGTCGAATTATTCTAAATTGTTAATTGTTAACTAATGCTAATTTCTATGAAGTTACTTAACACTTGCAAAGACAAATCTCATAAACTCATAAATTCAAAAAATTATGAGAGAAAATCCCCATGGAAAAATGAAAAAAGTAATTCCTAAAAGAGATTTCGCAAATTCTCACAGGAAAATTAGCAAAGGGATTTCCCAAATTCTGCGAAAATTTTCATCGCAATTTTATAACTACAATAATTCACCAAAAAAAATGAAAATTATCAAACAAATAGAAAACCGAGTGAGCAATTGGTAAGTCCGTCTGGTTCAGCGGACACGCCAGCCGAGCGAGCCTAACCAGCAAGCTGTGAGCATTCTTAGAAAAAACCAACCTGAAGTTATTTTTCTCGAACTCTGAATACTTGTTAGACGATCCCAGTTATAGAAAAACAATACAAAACCATCATATAAATAACCGAAAACGTAAAAATATAAAAACAGCCAAGTTAGTAAAATAATAAAATGGCCAATCCAATGATAAATAAATGAATTTATCGATAAATTAAAAAAACTTATAGATTTTGGCCATTTTTCAAGTGTTTCCGATGTCATTTAGTTTTTTTCTCTTTTAGCCAACTTTTATTTTAAAACTAGGTTGACTGAACGACACGTGAAACATACGAAGGCCACGTGAAAATTCCTCACGTGGTAAGTGCTAGGCACATGCGACGCGACACGCAACGCAACACGATCTTCTGCCGAGTTTTCGCGGATTTTTGATTCAATATTTATGAATATTTTAAAAAACTTGAAAAATTTTTTTAAATAATATTAAATCTTGCAAATGAAATTTTTTTTTAGATTTTAACCTTTGACATTGGAGAATATAATTTGCATTTTTATCGATTGTGGCGTTCATAATTGGTTTTTAATTTTTTTAAAAATTTTGCTAATATTTTCCATTTTTTAGAAAGAATAATTTATTAATATTTGTCAAAAACTTTATTTCTATAGCTCTAATAGGGGTCATTTCTTAGCTCCCAAAGGTCATTTCTCACGAAGGTCATTCTCGGCCTCAGAGCTCTCAGCTGTATAAATTCTGCTTTCAGCGTAAATTTTTAATTTCCATTCTAATTTTTTAATTTGATGTTCTTCCTCACTTCTGCTTTTTAATTTTGATTTTTCAGTATTTTTAATTTTTTAAAATATTTCTTTTACAACTTTTAATTTATTTGCTTTTAATATAATTTAAATATTTTAAATTATATTAAATTTAATATAAATGCTAAATTTTCATCTTTAAACTTTTATAACTTTTGCAATAATATTTTTTATAGGCAAATTTTTTAGCGAATGGCGGATTCAAACATCGATTCTCACGCATATTTATTTCGATTTATGAGCGAATTGAACGATGAGGAAAAGGAAAATTTAGTGAAACAGCGAAATTCGATAAACACTGAAAACATAATAAATCATTTTCGCATCTCAAAACAACGCTTTAATAAGGTTTTTCTCAAAAAATCTTTTTTATTTCCAATATTCCTTCCATTTCATTTAAAATTTTTATTTATTTCGATTATTTGAAATTTCCCTTTTTTCGAAAATCAAAAGATTTCAAATTTGAAGAGAAAATGACAAATTAAAATGCATTTAATTGTGAAAACTTAATTTTAGATTTATAAAAAATCAAATCAAATTATGAAAAATTACAAAATATATTGTTTAATACATTGTTTAATTTTTATCAGCAATCTGATAGAATGTTTTCAGGCGAAACATACGTTAACAGCAATTGATAACGAGCATTATGCCATTCGTCAGTGTTTGCCGGATGAACAACTTTCTTCGTACTGGAACAAAGGTTCTTATTGTTAAATAATGGAAGACTGCTGATAAAGTTGATAGCGTCTGAAAATTTATTAACGTGGTTTGCGAGAAAGCTGCTTGGAAATGCACTTGGCAGCTGAATTTCACTGTTTATGGCGAATCTATCGGCATCGCTCGCAATAAACCACGAAGTGAACTCATTCAGCAGAAGTATCTCTAAATTGCTAACTCACTGATCGTGGCTCCTCTTTTTACGCCAATTACCAGCTTTTAAAGGTTCCTCGTAAAGCATAAAAGGAATTCCTATGTTAATTTCACATTTTTGCTTTTAATTACAAGAAATTGAGCTTTTCCCGGTTATTCTTATTCCATTTTTAATACAATAATTACTGATTGATGTGAATATATTTGGTAATTTTTAATAAATTCACTAAACAGTTTGTAGTAGGAGATTTTAAAAGTGAATTATGCGTACATACATCGTTGAAAAATCATTCAATCATTCGATCGACGGTGGAAGAAGACGAATTTAACCTCTTTTTTAACCTCTGTTAAATTATTATTTTCAGGTCTTCGAGCGATAGCGGAAGGAAAAGTTGCTGCAGTTGTTCTTGCTGGTGGCCAAGCAACTCGCTTGGGAGCATCGAAACCTAAAGGTGTTCTGGAACTTGGTTTAGAAACTCCAGATTGTAATTCACTTTTTGCATTACAAGCTGCTCGTATTGCTCGTCTACAAGTCCTCGCTGCAAAACAATTTCCATCTTACCGTCCAATCATTCACTGGTTTGCTAATATTTTTTTTCTGATTTCCCATATCGTTTGGGATGAAAGGTATGAATTAATAGCCAGGAATAGTAAAATTTTTTTTAGGATTATAATGACAAGTGCTTCAACTGAAGCTGATACCAAGAGGCATTTAGAAGAAATTGCTCAAATGTCAGAACTGACTATGGATCAAATTACAATTTTTAATCAAGGAGAATTGCCTTGTATCACATTCGACGAAAAACTTATATTATCATCGAAATCCAAGATAGCTACTGCTCCAGGTTCATCCCTACATTCTTTGCTTTGAAATAAATTCGTCAAGATCTTGTGGATAATATTTGTCGATTAACATTAATTTTCAGTTCTTTTTGCTGAAAAAATATGAATGAAATCAAGAATCAAAGATCTTTCAGATGGAAATGGGGGACTTTATGAAGCAATACGTCCTCATTTGCCAAGATTTCGAAGTATCGGAATTCGTTATTTTCATGTTTACTGTGTTGATAACATCTTATGTCGAGTAGCGGATCCACATTTTATTGGCTATTGTATAGAAAAAAATGCGGATTGTGCTGCAAAGGTATTTTGGATTTTTATGGTTATATCTTTTTTATTATTTATTATATACTTTACTTTTATGTATTGTATATATATATCTTATATATATGTTGTATATATGTATGTAACTTATTGATTATCATATTTTGTTACTAATATAATATAATATTAGGTGGTTGAAAAAGTGGATCCAGGTGAACGTGTTGGGGTTATCTGTAAAGAAGATGGAAAAATCAAGGTTATTGAATATACGGAATTACCGCGTGATCTTGCTGAAAAGAGAACTGAATCTGGAAAATTAGTATTTCGAGCTGGAAATATAGCGAATCATTTTTTTTCCTTGGAATTTTTGGAAAAAGGTTTTTCAGATTTTTTGCATAAAATTTTTCGTAGAAGTAAAAATTTTATCTTAAATTTAAACAAAGAAATTCATTAATCTCTCTCTCATTCTTTTTATATTTGGTTATTTTTCAATATTTTTTCAGTTTGTAGCGATGATTATCCCATTATTTATCATTTGGCTTTCAAAAAAATACCATTTGTCGACGAAAATGGTACTATTATTAAGCCAAATAGTGAAAATGGTTATAAGCTGGAAAAATTCATTTTCGACGTTTTCGAATTTTCACAGTAAGTATTTTGTCGAATATATTCGTTGCATTAGAATATTTTGAAAGAATCGATCTTTCGTTTTATTATTAATCCTGCAAAATGTTTTTTCCTTTTAATTACCATCGATCGCTTTTTTAAGGTTTTGTACATATTTTTTGATAGGTTTTAGTAGGATTGAAATTTTTTACATAGTAGATTTATTGTTCAAAATCATCGAATAATTTATTTTTTTCAGGAATTTCTTCGTATGGGAAGTTCCTCGTGCCGAAGAGTTTAGCCCGCTGAAAAATGCAGAGAATGCTGGCAAAGAATGCTTAAGCACTTGTCTACGTGATTTATTCGCGGAACATCGTCGTTGGTTGAAATGTAAGAGTGATGATGACCGTAATTTATTTGTTCACCCAAAGCTATCATATGCTGGCGAAGTATTAATTTTTGTTTTTTTATGAAATGGAAAATGTTGATAAATTTTCAAATCATTTTAATAGTTGGCTTATTTCAGGATTTTCCTTAGGCGGTGGTGCTATTCATGGAATCGCTGTCTGTTGTTTACCAAGAATGTTGCTTCTATTTATGTACTTTTGTAATTTGCTTTTTTTACGTTTTGTTATTTATCTTCGGTTTCTTGAAATAGAATCATCAGTTTGAGTAAGTCTTGGTGCTTGTTCCTTTAATCCGAAATTTTATGAAACCGTTCATTTCTGATCTTTGTTTTGAAATTTTTTTCACTTCGTTGATCTCACGTTTTTAGGTTTTTAAAAATTAAAAGTTAGCGTGAACTTTTTTTATTCTTTTTTACTAATTCTGTAATTAAAAAAGGAGTTACTTGGTTAAAATGGTGCTAAATTGATGGCTAAAATTAACCACGCGAAATCAAGTAACCAAGTAAGAATTTCTTCCTATAGTTTATCTGTGCAATTCATTTCCTATAATTTTATTTGATTTATTTGATGACATATTCTCTCGAAAGATATTTTTACGTAGGAATGCATGATCACTTTTCATTTATTGCAAGAACTTATGTCCTTCATAATAATAAATTCACGAGTTTTGTGAACAATAAGTGTCATTACAACTCTAACTATATAAACACATACTCCTCATTAATTCAACAATATTCACTGAAACGAGTTTCGCCTTTTATAAAAAAGAGTTGTTAACATTTCATTTCATTTCATAATCATTGTATGAATTTTGTTTTAAGATTTTTCTGTTATAGTGATTGAACATGAAATTTTTCTTTTTTTTAAGAGTCCTCACCATTACTGGTTAAACTCGCTCCACTGGCTTGTCGCAATTGGGTAATATGCCAAGGAGTCCCTTTGCGATAGAAATACAAGTGAGTCGTCAGCATCACCCGAGTTTTTGTACAAGTTTACTCCAGCATGGAATTGAACCTCAGCATCGACGCTCTCAACTGAGCAACAACCCGCTGAGCGATTCTATCCCCTATAGTTATTGAACATGAAATGAAAAGCAAAAGCAAAAGCAAAAAGCAAAATAAAATCTGATATCATTTACTACAAAACTTTTCCAGTATATACCAGATTATTGCCTAATCGAAAATGAATTTGCACAACTGGTTAAACGCAAAGAACCGTAGAAATTTGTTAAAAATAGTAGCAGGCGGCAAATGCTGGCTTTTGTTAAATGATTAAACGTTATAATCAATGACAAAAAATATTTGAATTTGTTTAAGCACCATAATCAGTCTGGTAGATTCTTTTTCAATAGTTTATTGCGATGGAGAGTTAAATAAGTAACTGAAATATTCTCAAGTTGTCTTGCAATAATTATTCATTAGGACAAAATGTTCGTAGGATTCAACGGAGTAGTTAGTAGTGAATTATCAGTGTTTAATCCAGCATTATCAAACTAATGTAACAAATGCTTCGCAAAATTCTTATATTCGCTCAGGCTGCAGGTGCGATTGAAAAGAATGTCGCTAAAAATTTTCTTTTATAGAGTGAAGAAATAGAAAATCAATTTTCGCGTTTAGCACTTTCAGCTGATCCGTAATGTCGCTTTGCAATTCTTAGCGAATAATTCGGATTAATTTTATTTACAAGGCATTATGGCAAATATGGAAGATTACTATGTGAATGGATTCACTAGAGTGCTAATATTGTTCGGAGGAGCTTTCACTACAAATTATATGAAGATAATGCATATGTATATTGCATATTAATGGATAAGTATTCTTCATGATCACTTATTGGCCAAATGGTCATTTTCTGGCTTGTTGAGATTTGATTTCAACCTATTAATACACTATCTTAAATTTTCTCTATTAATTGAAATTATTCATGAAAAATTAAGAAAATATTTTACTTTCATTCATTACCATTTAAAAGAATTTCGAAGATTTTTAATTTTTGATTTATTCACTGAAATATATAGTTGTAAATATTTCTTTCCATAAAACCCTTGTTATCCCGAAAAATTTTCTTGCCAGAGAAATCCTGCACAGCGCTTTTTTAAAAAACAATATTGCGAAATGAACGCAAAAAAAGTTTAGAGGAATTTTATAAATAATCATTTTTGTTTTGCAAACTTTGCTTGGAATTGCTTGGGAAATAAGCAATCGAAATCTAATAAGTGATAAACAATATAAAAACATTTCGAATTAATCGTATGTAAATCTTAAAATAACTCTTATAATTATTTTAATTCTTTTCCTTAAAAATTTTTCTGCCCGTTCTATATTTTGCCATATTAAAAGATTCACAACATTGAGAAAAAAACTTAAAAATTTTTCTATCATCCAAACGACTCATAAAAATGCGTTCTATTTGAGCACACTTGTTCCATCCACGAATCCGGCTGCGGGCGCCCTATGTGTATCCTTTTATCGCCAACTGACTCGCTGGCAAAATCCACAATCAGCAGTTGGGCGCTCTTTGAACAAAAAATAAAAGGTACATCACAATGACGATCTGAGACAAATAAAACATCTTCAAATATTAACTTAAAAAGGTCAAAACGAAGGACATTTATATTGCTCATCAATATTTCCCGTAAGGAAACACTCTTTCCATACAGTAATTACTTCAAGAACTAATTTGTTGGCAGTATTCGTTGACATTATTCAAACAGCAACCTCGGAAACGATCTGCAAATACAGCTGTTGCCCTTTGATTGTATCATCGCTCGACTTTCTATCGATAGTAATTCGATTTTGATGATCTTGCGCCCTCTTTACGGTAGTTTTAAGCTTCAGAATATTAATTTTTAAGAATTTCAGAATTTTTGAATATCAAATCGGTTATCACTTTACCTTTCTCAACCTCCCAACAACAATTTTTTAAAGACAATTTCGAATATTTCGAAATAATTTGAGCGAATAACTTTTAAAAATATTTGACAAATTATTTCTTGCAAAATGAATTTCGAGAATTATTCTCGACGCTACCATAAAATTCTCCGATTGTTAGTTTTATATTAATCTTCGAAGGAACATTTCTCAATAAGAAGTGTGACAATTAAATCAATAATCCAACTTTTTCAAACTTTTCTAGCTCAATTTAATTCTAAAACAAATAATGAATGACTAAAGAAATTATTAATAGAATTCTTCACGTTTTATTAAAAACACTGTTTTATCGCAAACATACATTTAATTAGAACTGAAACTGTTTTGCTTCCAAGAATAGAATAACTATTTAAATAGCATTCTACGCAAATATGCGATCGTTCATTTCTATAATTAGTTCATTTGTAACTTGCAAGAAGATCTGAAGACGTGGAGGTACATTATAAAGCAAAAATCATATGGTAAATTATATTCCCATGGCTTGGTTCCTTTGATTGCATAATGTAATCCTCATGGATCATCTTAATACACAATCTATTCATCCACTCAATTTATCCTTCTATTGGCGTTATTTTTAAATAAAAATGGTATAAGCGAATGGTCTCAAAGATGAAAATAATACGTTTCTATTTCTATTGTTCAAGGAAACACAAAATAAGCAAAAATATTGAAAAAGAGGCCACGCTTTGCGTTCCTCCAGACCCGCGTCTATATTCTTGTGTTTATATTCTTTTTCATCCTCTTTCATGAATAACTGAAACAGTAATCAGGTGCTTTGAGGATTGTGCACATATATATAATTTATTAGCCATTCGCTTGAATGTATAGTGCCAAAAGGAGATCGAAATTCGCTTTTTGTTAAAAGCACTGTGCAAAAAAAAGTTTAAAATTTTGATGAAAGAAATAATTGTTGCAACAGGAAAGAAATGATTGTAATTTAACTGTTATTCTTTTTTAATGTATATAGACAAATATATATAGTTATTACTCAAATGATTAACATCTGCCACCACTAAATCGTTAAATAACCGTCGGTAACTTTTAAGAAATTTGATATTTTCTATTAAAATCTTAAATTTTTTCTATTTTTAGTTTTATTGTTATTGTATTCTTTTCTTATTGTTTTTTCATTTTTTAATAAAAAATGATTTTATAATTTCTATAATTTCTTATTTTTTTTTAAAAAGTTCTCACCATTATTGGTTAAACTTCACTGATTTCACTGGCTTGTCGCGTTGGACAAATATGCCAGAGTCCCTTGGCGATAGAAGTACAGAGGAGTCGCCAGTATTACCCGGATTCTTGGACAGGTTTACTCCTGCGAGGGATCGAGCCTCAGCATCGGCGCTCCAAATTTTCTTATCATTATTCTAATAATAATATAATTGAGCGCTGTTGTTGACCATATTATTACAATAGTAATGATAATAGTAATAATAATACTAATATTGCAATAGCAAATAAGAAGGAAAAAGTATTGCAGAGACGCTTGAATGCTTTCTTATACAAATAGAAATTGACGGCTGATTGGATAACTTTGAAAAATAAAATATCGCTAACGGCTGAAATACGATAAATATTATTTAAGAAAGTGGTGAAATTTGAAAAAAAAAGGCAAAACACCTGGAAGTAATTATAAACAAAAAAAAGTAAAAAAAATATTGCAAAATTATGAATAAGTGTTAAAGGTAAAATGTTTAATTGTGCATGAGATTTCGTATGAATAGCTCTTTCTTTCTCTCTCAATAGTTGGCATATTTCCTGTCATTATAAACCTTACAAATGGATATATTATATTGCCTTCTATAGAGATTTCAGATATATCCCAATTATTATTTTAAAAAAATCCAAAATTTCGTTAGAGCGGAACACTTTTTATGTTCATAAATTCATGCTTAACCTCTTCATTCAGTTTTATTTTCCTTTTTTTTTATATAAATTCATCGACAGTATTAAAATCGGTCAATGAACTTTCTTTATTTAAGAGGAGTTCATTTTAGCAAAAAAAGGAGAAACTCGAGTGTCATCACTAATAAATCAATACAAGAAGTTAACAGAACTAGCTTGTTACAGTATTTTAAACATAAGACGGACAAATTTTTTTCTTAGGACTCTTCTCACATCATTTGTGGTTAGATCGCTCCACTGATTTAGTGGAGCTTGGAACCATTTGGCGATACAGGTAAATTCAGATTTAATGGAAAATAGGTTTACTCCTACCAGAAGTATTAGTCCAGCGTTGGTGCTCTAAAATGAGAGCAACAACCCGCTGAGCCATTCTACGCCCAAAGCAATTAATTAATTAATACTCAGGCATGCGTTTAATTTTAAAATTTTCAAATTTTTTTATTTATTAATTTATCCACTTTAAACCATCTGCCATTTATGAAAATAGATTTTTCGTTATTATACAAGCAATACATATAACGAGTATTCAGTTATAAGAATAAAAGTAGAAATGCCAAAAAAGTAGAAAGCATTAAAGCACTAAAGTTTGTCCAAATAAATGAAGTGGTGCGAAATAAATTTTGCAGTAAATTTATTCGATTTTCTGGAGCAAATTTGCTTTTCCTTTATTATAAATCATTGAATAAAAATTGGTTTTAATTAATTTAAATAATTTGAAATATAAAAACAAAGAAATTTAAAAATAAATGATATTTCTATGTAAATTATTTGAATGAAAAAATTCTGAAATCAAGATTTCCTTAAGAAAAAAATTCAAGATTTCTTTAAAAAATGGAAAATTTTCATAATTCCGCCTTCTTTTTTCGTCTTACAACTTTTATAAACCAATCGAAACGAAAATGATAATAAAGCCACGCCTAGTATTAACTTTCTGATTTTCATCACCATACATATTAATCGTTCTTCTTTCATCCGCAATATTTATTATTATTTATTATTATTTACTTATTTACCACTATTACTGTTAATGACAACGCACAGCAATTCCAACGTATCAACGATACCATCGAGTAAGCTTATTTCTTCGGATAAATTCCTGAAAAAATAGATGTTCTAGTATATTTATAATTTAATGAAATATTTATTTCTGAAGTGGCGAATAAATAAAAACTATAAAACGAAATAAAACAAAATAAAAATTTATTCAAAATTCAATAATGCTTATTTGATTATCATTATTATTTGATTATCATTTTTATAAATCGTAAAATCATTAAAATCAACAAATTTCTGTAAAAAGTCGTGGAGGCAAAAAGATTATCTTAATTCGGCATTTCAGTCAAAGATTTCAGATTGTATAATATGTAAATTATAAATAACTATTATAATAATAATAAAATAATGGATGTATCATAAAAAAAACGATTGCAACATGTGAATCATATAGTTTATAATTTCTAAAAGAGAAATAGAGGTAATAAATAAATAGTATAACCGAAAAGTATTCAAAATGTTTTTAAGAAAAAAAATGATATTAAGAAAAATATTTAAGAAAAATGAGCTGGAAACTTTTGATGAAATAGTTTCTGATAAGGCATTCCATTATGATAATCTGATAAAATTACAGAAGATAATGAACGAACTTCTTGATCAACGAAATTTAGGACTTGAAAAGACGACGCAATAATTCTCCTTATAAATGCAATTTAAATATTACTCGAGAATGGCGAAACATTTATCTTCTAGAAATCTCCACCTGTACTTTACAATTATGGTTACAAAACTGATAACGGCATTATTTCAAAATGTTCAGAAATAGTTCTTAGACATTTTTACTTCTAACTGATTAGAAGATTTAAAGCCAAAAATTTCTTTAATTATAGAACTAACTTTTTTATGAAATTTTGAAATTTTAATAGATGTTTAATTCAAACTGAGATTAAACATAATTAATTTTTGATGGATAATTAGAATTTTCTAACATTTCCATTGGCCAAATTAAGTTAAATAAATAAATAAATAATTAAATTAAATAATTAAATTAAAAGTTATAAAAGAAAGAAAATTTATCAGAACAAGTTAAAAATAAAAAGTTTGATGAAATTTTCTATGCAAATGATAATTATTGAAATAATACGGTAGGTTAAGAAATTTATGTTGAGCAAACATTTCTAGCCATTTAAGTGTTTGTATGAGTGTGAGTGTCTATTTGTTGATGTCGCTCAATAATTTCAGAGGATATACACTTTGCGGAATCAAAATTGCCTTAAGCTATATAAGCATTATTGCAATCTTTCCTCTATCTTACCGTATTTTATAACTTTTTAATTATAAAATTTATTGAATTTGCTGGAAATTTTCTAGCTGATTTTTATTTTTTCATATTAAAAAAATATAATGATTTTTATATTTTTGAATAATTTTCTCACAATCGTATTTTTTTTTAAATATTAATAAAACAGTTTCATAAAGTAAAATTTGGAAATTAAAAATTATATTCCGTTCCATATTAATAATCCTTACAATTTATTTTCCTTATGGATTAAAAAAAATCTTACAATATGTATTAGATACAACAAAATATGAATCGGAATTTTTGAATCCATTGGCAATTTGAAGATCGATATTGAATGATTATAATGATGATCCATGGTTCGTGAGCAATTTCAAAGAAATATAATGAGGGAAACCTTATTACTTTCCCTATGAATATGTTTTACTACTTTCCTTTATATTCCCGACTAAATTTCATCGTTAAACTTTTTCATATCTGCTAATTTCATTGTTCTTCGTTATATTCACCAATATCCTCCATATTTTCTTTAGAAATCTCTTTTAATTTCAAAAATCACACTCTATGATAGCATAATCAAAACGTATAAGTAATGTTAGACAAATGAAAATAAAGTTCAAAAGATTGGATCACAAAGATGATCTAAACTTATTTCGAGGCAGAATATTGTTGGATGTGCCGTGTAGAGTTTGTCAAGACCATTCATCAGGAAAACATTACGGTGTTTTTAGCTGCGATGGATGCGCTGGCTTTTTTAAGGTAAGGATGCATCCTTGTTCAGATCAACCTTAAGCCGATTTGAAGATGTCTAGAAATTGCTTTACTATTTTAACCTTCCAGCAATCTTTTAATTTTTGTGAATGCTTTGTGTATGGTCGACTTTTTCTTCCAGAATTTTATTCACTTAATAAAAACAAATTTGTGTAAATATTTCATGTACATACGATGCGAAAAAATATTAAATATAAAAATATTAAGCGGTCGATTAGACGAAATCGTCAATATGTATGTAAGAATCGAGGAGGTGGAGAAGAAGGAAAATGCCTTGTTGATAAAACGCATAGAAATCAATGTCGAGCATGTCGTTTAGCAAAATGTCTGGAAATTGGCATGAATCGAGAAGCCGTTCAACATGAGCGAGGACCGAGAAACACAGCCATGAGGAGGCACATTGCTATTTATGCGTCATCATCTAATAATGAACAATCAGTTCGTTAATATCTTTATATTCTAAACTAACCACTGATAACCTTTTCCCGATGTATTTCCAGTGGACAGTAAATGAACAAACTAACAAAACATAATCTAATCGCTAAGTTTTTGAATATTAGTGATATGATGAACAGAATGACAGCGGAAAGAAATATGAATTATAAGTTTTACACTGGTACTTCAAATTTATCAAGATGGCTTTTTTAATTCAGATTTTCAGAATTTTTTTCAGCTAAAAATTGGAGCAGATTCAGATTCATTAGTTACTTATCAAATTTCCGAAGTGACCAACAGAGCAAAAGATTTAGCTGCACGATTATTTTTTCATATCCTTCATTGGTCGAAGTCGATAATACCTTTCGCATGCTTATCTCCTCACACTCAGGTGACAAAATTAACAATATCATAAATAACAATTAATATCATAAATAATTCGTGGTAAATATTTAGATAAGCTCAAACAAAGATAGTTTGATGTTTAGATAATCGAAATCAGTTTCTGAAATAAAATTAATATTAAAGCTTCATAAATCCAAACTCCTAATCCATCTCCCTTAGCTATTTCTGGTTTAGTTGGCTCCATTCAATGGCAAAGCGCCCCACACCACTTGGATTGCATGTCTAAGCTTAATCGAAGCAAATTTTTTTTTTTTATTGTTATTTTTTCATTAATATTAATTTTATAATTTTATGAATGATTTAAACATTTCTTCTTTCCACCACCTATATTTTATACTTTATATTATCAGTACATAAGTTTATGCTTAAGGTAGCTGCTCTTAAATCATCATGGAGCGTTTTATTTATACTGTCAGCAGTGGAAAACCGTTTTGTACAAAGTGCATCATTAGTTGCTGAAAAGTTTAATGACACGCATCTCAAATTAAAATTTATTTCTGTGGTTTCGCAACTTGAACAGCTTAAACTTGATTCAGCTGAATTCAATCATTTGAGACTTCTTAGTCTGATGAAAGGTTTTTTTTGACGAAAGTTGAAAGTTTATTGGTGAATAGGATTATCAGTATAGAGGATTAAATAAATTTTAATCACTTTATCCAAGATTTTTCACTCGCATCTATTCATCACACCTTATATTCCAAGTTGAAGATTTTGAGAAAAGGTTTTCATAAGCCAAATTTCGGATATTTTGGGAGAAAAATACTTGGCTACAAAAATCATTTTTCGAAAAAACTGCAAAGTAAAAAACTCGAATTCTTAAAATTAAGAAAATTTTCTTGAACATTAAACATACTTTTTGCTTTAGATATTTTGCTTTATTTGCTTTTGTTATTCACTTAATTAAAATTTCTTGCAGGGAAGCACTCTCAGCTCGAGCAATTATCTGCATTTAACTTAGCGCAACATCAGCAAATTGCATACCCAAGTCAACCTTTAAGATATATATCATGTATGTTATTATTGGATTCAATACCACAGTTAGAAACGCTAATTTCCGATTTATATTTCAAGCAATCAATTGGTAATACATCAATGTCTGCCTTGATTTCTGATATACTTTTACCTAAATCTTTAAAATCTACAAAAATTTAGTTATTTCATATAAATGTTATTGCTACGCACCAAGTTCCATAAGAAATATACGATAGGAAATATTTATCACTTTTAGCAATTGTTCCTCAAATTGTCGCCAAAACTGGGATTCCTCAGATCATATATTTTCTTTCCTTTTGCTTATTAAATTATTAAATTATTTTTTTAATGGCAATTTTTTTTTAATTTTTTGAAAAGTTTGGAAAAATTCTGGAGCAAATCAAATAGAATATAATATAAATAATCCCTTTTAAATTATAATTCAGCAAAGAACCTCATGAAAAAACTCGTAGAAATTAGATATAAATGCGTTACATTTGACCGATATATGTTTTAAGTAATGTTATATTGTCAAATTCTTTCTTATCGCTAAATTTTCTTCAAATTATTGCCCTTTATAGCAAATAGAAAAAAGCCAATTGAGTTTTGAAAATTTCCAGAATCCATTCTTTTCGCTTTTTTTAAATGAATTCAATTTAAGGATTTTATAAATCTCTTTTGAAAGATTGCGAGAGATGAGAAGATTAAATTTTTCTTGTATAATTATTCATATTTATATTTATATATATATATGTATAGAAATGTGTAAAAAAATCAGTGATATATGAAACGTACTTTTGTGGAGTTACCGGTGAAATTTAAATATTTAAAATTCTTGCCTGTTCAATTTTATAATTAATTTATTTTTGCCTTTTTTTCATTTAATGTGTGGTGTAATAATGCAATAGAAATGCACTTGTTATAATTATTCTTTCAAAAAAAAGATTTATCGTGATTGATAGGCGCAATGATTTTGTAACACACAAACCAAAAGAGATAAAAATAATTTTAATAAAAAGTGATCATTATAAAGCTAATTATTTTTAATAAAAAGATAATTATTTTTCTAAATTTGTAGGCCAACTCCTACAATAAGTTATTTTATTCTTGCAGAATAGACAAATTCATTTAATCAAACAATTTATTTTTATTATTTTCGATAAACTGCGACCATTTTTATTATCACTGAATTCAATTTATATTTAGAGAAAAACGAAAAATATTTAGCTGAATCAAATTGTAATAGCGAAATAGCGAATATTGTATAAAATTAAACTGGAAGAATTTTTTTTACTTATCGCAATAATTATATTATTTATATATTTTGTCTATTTACATTGCAATTTTCTCTATCACTTATGTGTGATAATTACTAATCACATGCTGAGAAGATTATAAAATTCGACCTTTAGCGCTTCCATTCATATAAATATTGTTGTGAATCGTTTAAGAGAGGTAAGGAAAATTCACAGTATCAGCAAATCTGAACCTAGCAATTGAATCTGGACGAATTTTATGGATTTTCTTAATCCAATGAATATTTATGAACAATACATATAAACAATTTTTATAGATATTAAATAATAACAAATAGTAATACAATATTGAAATTAGAAAAATTCACTGCCTCAAATTTTCCAAATGAACCAAATGCCAGTTGAATCGACAAACTTTCCTTTAGTGTGACCTCGCGGAGAGAATTAAATTAACTTAGCTTAATAACTGACTTTAAATTAAAGGTCAAATAAAACAATTAAAAGAATAAAAAGGGCTGCTGACTATCGATTACAATTAATTCGTTGTGGTAATTCGCAGCGAAATAAAAGCGGTGCTTGTTTCTACAATAATAGAAGGCATTACTTTTGATCCATTTGTTTGATTATTATTCAAGTATTGTGAATGAACGATTGATTGTGAGTCCTCATGAAGTTTATTGCAAAAGAATACGATGAATCTCATTTTCTTCAGCGGATTAATTTTGCCTAAAAGATATTTTCCTTTGCAACTGATGTAATTTATTTTATAGTTTCGAAGATTATGACACCATGAGAGTATAATTTAATTTAACACACACTGAAGCTAATCATCTTACGGTCAAATTCTAAGGTCAAATCTAAAGATTAGGTAACATGAAAAGAACAGTTTTAAATCTCACTGCGATTTATTAATGCGAAGTAATTTCTCGCATTTTCCTATAAAAATTTTCAAGTTTCCGTCGGTTTGGCTAGTTTGTCGTTAATTTGGCTAAAAAATTTGGTCATTTAATGTGATTTATATAAGTCCTCTGCTTCGATAATGACTTTATTTAAACTTTATACCATTCACATTGTCTTTTGATGGAATTTTTATAAATACATCTGAATTTTTTATTATAATTAAAAATTTCAGCAACCAATTTAAAGTGAAAACTGAAATTGGAGAATATTGATATAAGTATTCGCTAGTTATAATGAATAACGAGTTTTATAGACTGGTTCCGCTAAACGCCAAATACTTTCCATTCTTAATTTAATGTGAGACTGTGCAAATTTTCTAAATAATGACCTACTTCTTCTGCCTATTTTTTGCCTAAAATGAGCCTTTAAATTCAAGAAAAGGGTCAAAAAATATATATGTGTACGACACATACAACGACTATTGATGGTACCATTAGAAAATGAAAAAAACTTTTATTTTGCCATAGAAATCAATTTAAAGTTTATTTGAAATGAATATGAATGCCTATCTCAACTATTTTGAAAATCTTGAGGTTACTGGCAAATTGAACAAAAATCCTTCACAGTTCTTCACAGTTAAATGCATTTTCCTTCTATTGTCAACCAATATAATCTGCAAAATATTAAAGTAACAAAATATTTAAATAATTATTTGTGACAGAAAAAAGTGGAAAAATAATGGAAAATTTAAAAAATAACGCCATGATAATTGCCGATTAATGTCCTTTAAAAGTTTTTTCTTATAAACCAAAAATAAATCAAAAATGCTTTGAAACTATTTTTTTACTAAGAAATAATGCAATAGAAAGTGGCATATAAATACAAAAAAAAGTGATTAAAATAGAAATTATTTTATTATTCTTTATTTTTAAAATTTTGCAATTAATGAATGGGAATAAACAAAAAATTTTGCTTTTTTGTTTTGATATTTTAAAAAGTTAGTGTTTTGAAAAGAAAAAAAAGAAGGGAATATTTGAGACTTCTGCGTTATTCATTTCTACAGGCCTAAATTTGGTAAAATGATCGCCAGAGATCAGTGCCAATTAAGAAATCTATTTTTTAATTTGCAGCACAATTAATTAGACTACCACTGGGAAAATACAAAATTAGCAAACAATAAATTAAAAACCAAGCATTTGTAAAGTCAAATTTTCCTAATATTTGTACGGTACTTGTGAACTACGTTATTAAGTACTGCAAAAAATATTAATTAGGATCAACTAAAAAGTAAATATTGATGAAAAATTTTATGAATAACCTTGTCAAATTGACGTTTATTGAATCAACTAAAACATCTGAATCAAATGAAAATTTGCGAATAAAAGTTGATTCAACAGAATTTTTTTCGTCCAATATAATTAATGATGAAGCTTTTACGGTTAAACGATTTTTATTAATACATATCTAAATAGATTAAATAATCTCTGCTTTTGTAGATTGGTGTAAAATTTAGAATTATCGGAATATTTCATGCTTAAAAGGTTTTATCAAGCAAAGCATAGAAGTTTGAAATCTTCAAGCATTTTGCATTATTTTGCATTTATACCTCAATTTGTTCTGGAGAAATGTTGTCCATGTCAACGGAAATCTTGAAATATTTTTTTCCATAAAAAATCTAAACATTCTTTTCGTAACATAATTTTTTAATCGCAAAACTGCTCATAAGCATAAAAACTTCGATTTTTCAAAAATATAATTGAGCAATGGTTAAAAGAGAAGAAAATTTAAAAATGTTTCAAAACTCTAGGTGATTTATTGCTAAAAATTATAGTTATATCCAGTCCAATTTTCCATCAGCATTTTAAGCCAGCGTAGCACTAATTATGCAATGAATTTTTTGGACGCATAATCTTGATAACTTCGAGCCTGACAGACACCTTATAATTTTACACCAATAGCTTGGTTTTCTAATAAAAAATGCATATCGAGCTTACAGTGAGGCGTGAGGAACAGTTGTACTGCATCGGTTCTCAGTCAACAACATAAATTCGATTCTCTTCTTCGTCAGCAACAAACCTACCATTAATGAATTCTGATAACCTACATTATCGCTAAGTAAGACGGCAAAAATTTCTGGTCGTAATAAGCGAAGAAATGAGAAAAATTAGAGAAAAGATTACCAATTGCAAAAATACTACTTAACCTGGGAAGGAGTGTTCCGTACTCTTGCAAGTTTTCGATCTAATTCCTTAATTGATTCTGCATAGCTATAATTATTGTTGTAGCAGTTATAATCGTTGAAATGATCATGCAGATTTTGTGACCTTTCCGAATAAAACGGGGCCATTTAATATTTCATTTGAATGACCTAAAATTATAGTATCAATTAAATTTAACGCCCAAAATGTAATTTAAAGTGCAAAATTTACCTCACGACAATATGCGAATAAGAGTGACGAACGGCCTAATTGACCGACCGATCGCCCTTAGTTCACCGTGCTTTCATATATTTAAGATAGAATGTTTAAAACTGATATAAAATAATCATAAACTGGATAGAAATGGATTCAAGCAAGCAAGATCACATGCATATTCAAAGCATGTGATCTTAATTCATGAAAAACTGGCGGGATAGACTGCACTAACAAAAATTAAACACTTGCAACATTGTTGACACATTCAAAGAATTATTTTTTGGCTTATTTTAGCTGTCAGAAATTTGTTTTTCTTCGTTTTCAAAGTCTTACTGAGTTAAGTTTTCAAAGTTTTTAAAGTCGTCTGAAGCCTATTTTCGTCTTCCATCTTTACAATATTTGAAAATATTTATGAATAACTGTAGTGGTTTCATATTTTTGGCATTATTTTACCAATTAAAATTGCCAGAATTTTTTATCTCATTATTAAATTCGGTCTTTAATCATGGATTGGTTTGTGCAAAAATAAATTGGCATCCGTTTGCTATTATATTCTTTATTTTAAATTTAGTGCTTAGTGCCATTATTCACAGTTTCAAATTTTATTTCA